TGAGCGCCCCCCGAATTGGAATGGAATGGTTTGTAATGACACCTTCTACAGACCTTACGTAGTCATACCCCGACGACATCAATAATCGGGCTGTGAGTCCTCGCGGTGCAGGCTGGGAGATATGTAACTCGAGAGGTACGTCATTCATTCCATTCGGGCAAATCGCATGCTCTGCTTTCCTAACTCAAAACACGTCCTGGACGCGCTTTGTCCCTCGGCGCGAAATACGGGTGTTCCAATGAACAGCTAAGGCGGTAATATGACATGTCCACCACGCCTGGACCCAGTGCCCCAAGCCAGCGCCCTTGCCTTATAGATATTCCGTTATATCATATCTTCCAGAAATTCAATGTATCAACGTGAGGTTTACACAGAAAGGCACGCTCGATATGCCACGTCTTGCCATGATCCAGACTTCCTTAGGAGAAACACGCAAAAGTCGGAATAACAATTCTTACCGTATTCACGTTTTGGGCGTTGTGATTGTGTGGGGGCGTACAAGTGGTGTGAAGGCGCAGGCGGTATGAGGGCATACAGATGGTGTGAGGGCACAGACGGTGCGAGGGGGTCAACATATAAAAGCGGCCTAATTCTTGCTCATTTACCTTCAGTTTACTCAACCACCGCAGAGCCAACCATCACGCATGAGCATCCCTCTCGACAAGGTTTTTGTTTGGTGGTCCAATACTCCTCTAAGTTCTCTAGCACGGTCAATCCCTACGTCGTCCCTTTCTACTACATCCGGAATGATAAGATGCGCTACTTCGCTGATTTCCCTAGCCAAGCCGTCAAGGACGAGTTCCTCAAGTTTCTGAGGACACATAAAGCAGTGCAAACTAGTGATTGGTACAGGCTAGACAGTGACACTGCCGTTCATGATAACTTTGCCAAAGCCGCTCAGTTGGGCGGAAATGCGGACAACTTGTCGCCTCATGCGCGAGCCTAGAGGGAAAATGTGTGTTGACATACCGTGATGAACCACGAGTATATCCAATGAAGGGTTCCTTGATATGCAGAGGTTCACTGCAGTCCACTTGGACTGCGGAAGTGTTTTCTGCCGTGATTTTTTTTAGATATATAGAAAGCAAGAAAAAAAAGAACATCTTTTCTCGAGTTCATCGGACATGGCGATCAGGTACACTTTGCACCTACATAATAACTTGATCTCCTCAACAGTCATCTTTGATGACCTTCCATGCAATCGGTGTATCGTTTGCTGTTGAGCCAAAATTAAATGTGGAGGTTATAACTCGCGCTTGGAATCGGATGTTGGTGCACCTGGTCTTGATGATCGTACTTCAAGTATGTATCGCTGGCCTGTGTGCATACTTGAGCTTGAGGCCCGTAGCGAGCACTTCACTGCCGCATACAAGCATACGAGTAATCGCCACGCGCTCGAGTTGGAACCACTGTCCCGCTTTTTCTCTGTTCACTATTGATGACGCGTCGCGTGTAGTGTAACTCTGTGAAAGAACAACAGATTAGCGCACGAGATAGGTTGAAGTCGATGGGCCAATGGAGCGCGAGACAGATATAGAGCATCTCAGAACTACTGCAACAGAGACTTCGCTTTGCATACCAGACGGGGGAAAGAGGCCCAACGGCAAAGCATGGCTGAGAAAAGGGCTGTCGACAGGGAAAAGATTGTGATCAGGAAGGATTGGGATGCCACCGTGTGAGGAGAGGCAACCTAAGTGCCAGGGGAAGTGTGAGAGAGCGAGGAGATACAACCACGAGGTGAAAAGAGGCAACCCGCGTGCCCGGAGGAGTGTGAGAATCCATGGTAAGTGGCTGAATGCGAAGAAAGGCAATCTGCGTGCCAGGAGTGCGAGAATGAGATGATACACGGCCAGATGCGAAGAGCGGCAGCCTGCACTCCTAGAGGAGCGCGAGCAAACAAAACAAGAAGGAATGGGAAACGACGATGAAAGAATACCCGGAGCCAGAGGAGGAGACAGGGCGAATGAGCGAGGGCAACCATTTATGAAATACAACCTTGAACATGAGGGAAATGGGTACCTTCAAACATTTCGGGGCTAGTCCGAAGAACACCCCACACCTCGCAAAGGGCGTCTGTAGAAATCGAAAGGAGAGGATGCACAATTGGCACTTCCGACAAACGCACTTAACTGGCTGACTCCCAATGAGTCGGGAAGTCATGGTTTCATGTGGGGCACCAATAACTCAGGCTCGAAAACAATCTGGAAGAGGTAGGAGTGCAAGGGGCTGATGTTGTCATTACTGTAGTCCCGAATAACGTGGAGGTGAACAACGCAAGATGGAAGCCATGACCCGCGGGGTGACGACAGGATCGAAACCGATGGTTCCGCCGGAAGTGAGCACAATGTGGGTGGGAAGAAGGACGAGATAGGGAAAGTGGAGTCGATTCGAATGCTAGTGCTGGGTAAGGTGTGACAAAATAGTGGCCTGGGCAAAGGAAGAGCTTGACCTGAAAGCGGCGGGTTGGGGGAAGAGGCCATTGACGGGGCGGTGTTGTCTCGTCGGGCGAGTTTGTCCTCGCAGGGGGGGATTCTGTGGCCAGATCAGACGACGCACTCGAATGACCCGTGGGAAAAGACGGCGAACACTACCTGGGACTGCTAGTGAGGATTAGGAATTGATTAGAGACACGCTATTTGGCCACCCGGGACTCAGACAACGGCGACGATGATGACCTACGACCCCGACAAATGGATCGCACAGCTGATGGACTGCCAACATCTGCCCGAACAAGACATGAAAATCCTCTGCGACACCGTCCGAGCCATCCTCCTCGAGGAATCCAACATCCAGCCTGTATCGTCACCAGTCACCATCTGCGGCGACATTCACGGCCAGTTCTGGGACCTCCTCGAACTGCTCAGGAAAGGCGGAAGCGTGCCAGAGACGAGCTATATCTTCATGGCACGTAGGTGTTCTTGGGCATCGCAGCTTCGGCAGCTCATATCACACTTCGCAGGGAGATTTCGTCGACCGGGGCCACTACAGTCTCGAAACCGTGTCATTACTCCTAGCACTCAAAGCAAGGCAAGCTATTCCGATCATTACTTGGCCCCTATCGTTCATGGTCTTCCAGATATCCCGATAAGGTCACGTTGTTGCGGGGCAATCACGAAAGTCGACAAATCACCCAAGTATACGGGTTCTATGGTGTGTCCTTGCATGCACTCTTCGCCCCAACGCTAAATTCTCTTCCCAGACGAATGTCAACAAAAGTACGGAAGCGCCGCAGTATGGAAAGCTTGCTGTAACGTGTTCGACTATCTGAACCTCGCTGCAGTACGTCACCTCACATCCCTGACAAACATCACTTACAACCATCTCAGATTATCGACGGAGAAACTTTATGTGTACACGGCGGACTCTCTCCAGACATACGGACTCTCGACCAAATTCGCGTACTTTCAAGAGCCCAGGAGATTCCTCACGAAGGCGCATTCTGCGGTAAGCTTCCAGCCTTCCTCAAGTTGGAATCGTTTGATATGACGCCTTCTATAGACCTCATGTGGTCAGATCCTGACGACATCGATAATTGGGCTGTAAGTCCCCGCGGTGCTGGCTGGCTCTTCGGCGGAAACGTAACTCGAGAGGTACGTCGTTCATGCCGTTCAGGTACATCGCATATACTCACTCCACCATCTTCGCAGTTCAACCACGTCAACTCACTCAGTCTTATCGCCCGCGCCCACCAACTCGTTCAAGAAGGCTACAAATACATGTTCGACAACGCCCTAGTCACCGTATGGTCCGCACCTAATTACTGCTATCGATGTGGGAACATGGCATCGGTGTTAACACTGAGAGAAGGTGGGGAGCATGAATTCAAGGTATTCGGTCCGGCTCCCGAGAATGAGAAGGATAAGGGGATGGGCAGGCGGAATGTGAGCGTTTTCTATTAACTTCACCTGGGGTACTGAAGTGCTGACACTCTGCTACGACAGCCCGGAATGCAATATTTTGTATAGTTATGCTGTATCTTGTTTATTGCTGTCGGATATACCAGTCTTCTTGCTCTCGACAGGACTGAAGAGCTGTGAATGGATGACGCGGATCGCGCGGCGTTCTCTGCGACTGCAACCTACGCTCGGAATAGGTATGTACACTAATTCGATTCTACCAAATCACAAGGTCAAGATTTCCATCAGGCTTACTTATTCCTTTGCTAGCAGATTCAGACGTGGCGTCTCCGTCGCCCCATCATCGTATCCCCGAGCATGAATATGGTTGGGTAAGTAACAACAGGTGCACGAAGAACAATAAGACAGGAGGATGGTGGGCCTTGTGCTACCGTCATATCCCCCGTCTCCACTGTCTTCTCTCTCGAATGAAGGGCTGTCACGATGACGGCCTCGAGGGAAATGTTCCCGAGTAATGGCCTGCGCGGTAGTCAGAGTTATCAGTTCCCTACCCAGTGCCATCAGCTACGTAGGTACTAGAAAACGATCCCACAAGCTCGGTAAGTTCGCCTAATCAATCTCACGTCGACCCGAAAAAGTTGCGTCTTCAGAGGGAGGAAACGGGACTGGCACCCTATCAATGGACTAATTGATGAGAGTAGGAATGGGAAAAACCATATCAACGCACGAGGAGTAAGCCCTTGGAGATCACAGGTGGTCGTCCGTATCATGGAGGCTATCGTCCAGAGAATCCATTTAATTGCGTATGGGGCGTGTCATCGATCATGCTCACGTTGCCTTGCGGGGGACAAACACTGTGCGAAATCCAATGATCGCCAGCGAGTGAGATAGCCTGTTGGTATCTTGCTGGCGACAGTAAGCCCAAAGGGCACAGTTCACATCAACGGAGAAGTGCTAGAGAACCGAAGCAGAGCGTTGGTATATGGCGTATCATAGACATGATATGTCGTCCAGAGAGAGATAATGATAAACTCACGCGACTCACGCAGACCTAACGTTCGGCAACGGAACGGCACCAATGGAACTGCTGACACCTCTACAGTCGACTTTGGTATCCCGAGGCGCATCGAGATTCTGTACCACGACAGTGGATTGTAAATGCGTACGACCGGGTGAGCATATCCATGTGACCGACTCACGGGAGTACCAGTGCAGGATGGTATCGACTAAGTCGAGCATTGTTCCTCCTGTCCCTTCACCAATAATTTCCTCGGAAGGGCCAACGCATTTGCCAGGAGCACATGAGGTTTATTGGCACGACGAGAAGAGTCGGCGCTCGGGTGTCGTCCATCAATCGTGACGCAGAGGGGGACGGGGGAGTAGGTGCGCAGTACGGCTGATGATGGTTGAGGAGGAAGATGGGCGGGTAGAATGGACGACCGGTGTGCTGAATTTATAAGGGCAGTTGGGAGCCTGACATCTGATTTCGGGGGGGGGGAACTTTCCAGGTCAGCCACCTTTTGGCTGCCGGCTCCCCGAAGGGACGGGACTTGGCAGGGCTCTCCGTCGTCCCCCTTACCCTCGAAGGCTATAGTCGTAAGCTGTGCCTGAGTAGGATAGGATTCAAAACGAAATGAAACCAAGCAGCTATGTCGATACACCGTCAGCTCGTCAACTTCATCAAGTCCAACTGACCCCTCTCTGGCCTCAACTTTCATATGTACCGTATCCCAAAGCTTTATACGAGGACATCCACCTTCGCCGGGTCCCTCGGGTTACGAAGGTGTTATCATGCTTACATAATTCTTGTATCGTTCAGAATTTGCGAACACCCGCCACGCGAGAACCGACTCCCCATCTCCCCCACATTCGGTGGCACCTGGCGCCCATAAAAGATGATCGGGCAAGTAGCAGAACAAACCACATCCTCCAAAGAGTTCTGGACAATGAATTGTTGAGGTTGTTGTAGAATAGGTATCAGATGAATATATCGTGTCGGTACGTTAGCTGATCATGCGTATCTACATATAAACAACAGATATGAGGATGTCCGGAGGGGTATGATGAGGACGATGAGCAAAGACTACGAAACAGCACGGAGGAGGATACGAACACAAAAAATGACTGCTAAAGGAGGAAAGATAGACCAGCTTTAACGACCAGCAATCCTCCATATACACGTCAAAGGATTTCTAACACCCCCGCCCGAATGTTCGTGGGGATGTTGGTTCCAAGTCCTGAAACGACAATCTCTTCCTCTGTGGCAACCCTCCTGTACTCTCCCTTTGGCTGCTGTGCGAGCAGCAACGCGCTGAACGGCTGTCCGAGACGAGCAATCATTTGCAGTGCTCGGGTATAGCCGTCAACTCGAGGGGGGAGAGCGTGTAACGGCGAAGACGGCAGAGAAACTCCATCCGATTCAGCGTCGTGATCTGAATCGCAGTTAGAGTCAGCATCGGACTCCGGATCATCTCCCCAGGAAACCACACTATTGGGACCTCGGATATGACCAACCCACGGATGTACGAAGACAAATTTATGTGCCTCATGCAGCGGGAGGTCGTCGGCGGTCGAGAACTCCACTTTTCCAAGTCCTGATACCCTGGCACGATACAGCTTCTCACTGCCACTGCGTAGCTCCAGTCTTCTGAGGGGGAAGATGATGCATGGAAGATGTAGACGTCTGGTACCAAAACGCGCAGGCGGAAGCAACTTGATTTGATTATAAATGCTAAGGACAACTTCCTGGGGCAACTTTCTGCGCAATTTTGTGATGCATGTTTCCGTTTCTTCTCCTTCGAGTGACGGAGGGGTGTAAGGAATTTGGCTGTAGACGGAAACGGAAGCCGGGAGACAGCTGTTGTACGACGACGACGTCCCTGACCACGCAAGTACGGTGACCTCGCCAATGCGAGCTACGATCTCCTCCAGCAGATGTCCGAGAGCGTCGGTTCCTTCGCCATAGTGGGGCCTGATATCAGATTTGAATATGCCGATCAGAGAGTATGCGACGTCTTCCTCCTTCGTCGCATTGCGTGTAGAAGCAAGACGAAGTTTTTCGCGAACCCCAAGATCATCTGGAGAGAACCTGACAATGGTTCCAGAGGAAATCTTGATAGCATCTGCAAGCTCTTGCATGATCACCGGAGATTGCTTGTGGTTCATGCCAATATCGCCGAGGTATGGTTTCCACTCGGAGTCATAGAACAAGATGACTCCTGGTGAGAGAAGCTCTTGTAAAGTTCAAGCTCGCGTCATCCAAAAACTACGCGCAAGGTCTCCAGGCTTGGACGGATGGGCTACACCGGCAAGGTATACAAGCGTGACTGCCGAATTCGCGTATCATTTGTACATCAAAGTAAGGGATTCGGATAGGGTAACGGTGGCGCTCTGGGACTTGTCGATACAACACGTATCCGACCAGGCCCAATTGTAACCGAGCCTGCGTGTTTCCTCGCAGAAATCACGCAACTTCTTATTCAGGCGCGTTTTGGGAAGGCCCCACACGAGGTTGACTTCGTTGACGTCCTGGAGCGGAAGGTCCCACACGGAGTTGACTTTGTCGACGTCCTGGAACGACGGCTCCTTCCCCTGCCATGCGTGCGAGAACATGACGTATCCGAAAAAACTTTTAACCACAGGTCGGATCTGCGTCTCGTCCACTTTTTTCGTCATAGATGACACAAGTTCTTTGAACCTCGGATGAGCCTTGAATATACGCATCCGCTCAGTCTCGTCGCAAAGGCGACCAGTAGTGACATAAATGACGACGAAGGGACAACAGATCTCGCGGACGATGGAATCGATAGCCGCAATTGTGTCAGATGGCGAAATGTAGTTCTTACGGAGTTCTGTGAAACTGTTATTTGTAGATATTGGCATCATACAGGAGATACATACGGATAGTCTCAGGGTCACAGGACTGTTCGATCCTGAGTAGCATGGACTTGAAAGCCTCAATCGCCTCGTCATACTGCTTCGCGCCATGAAGCGCCACATGCTTGGCCTCAAAACCCCAAGGGCTGGAGGGATCCACTTTCACCGCCTATACAGCAACTGTAAGGGAACCCACTAACACAAGAAAGATATCACGCATACCTCATTTGCATCCTGTAGTGCATCCTCCCACAACTCTTTTGCAGCCCGAGCTCGGCTTCGTTTGATGAGCAGACCTGCCGGACTTGGAGGACTGAGGGACAACGCAGCAGAGTACTGTGTTATTGCGTCATCATATTTTGAAGATCCAACACTGTCGCCAGCGCTCAAGTCGCAGCACATTTTTCGGTGAAATCTGATGACAGACATGAATGTGCACATCAATAGCAGTTACAAGACATACCTGAATCCAACCCGCAATTGCGTTCCTCCTTGTCTGCTGTCCGCATGATATTGAGGAGGATCTCCGTGGCTTCGGCTGCACGTCCTTCAGCATAGAGGGCGTCACATAGATGTTGCTGAGCAACGATATCCAGTCCGCTGAAACTCCAACCAATATCTTCATGAGGGTTGCATTAATAGGCAGGCTAGTAGCGCAGAAGACCTACGAGCGAAATTGTCACTAGCGGAGGACAGTGTCTGCGGGGGCTAGGCTCTTCGCACGCTCATCAATGTATCGCATGTCCATAACTTCCCTTCTTCAGGTACATAATTCCAAGCACCTGTGCGGTGAGTCAGCAGCGATAATTATATGTCTGCGTCACGCAATGCACGTACCTGGGTGTAGAGGTATGTGGCGTCGTCGTCGTCATCATTGTCCGCTGTGTAACAAGGTACTCTGCACGCATTATCCCGTCTTCTTGATTTCCAGATTCGAACAAGGATCGACTGAGCGAATGTAGATTAATTGTGAGAACGATCTAGATCACTTGGCGCACCTTCAACAGTAAAAATCTGATGTCGTGCAGCTCACAATCATAAATGCAAAGTCGAATGTGCGTAGCGCACCCTCTCGATCGCCCTGTCTAAGTAGAGCAATCGCCATCGCGATATGGCCTATAGGTGATCGCTGAATCCGGAGGGACTTGATGTGTATGTGAGCAATCATACAGATGGAGCGGTGAGGAAGGGAATCACCTCTTTGGCATCCTCTATCGCAGCTGCCAGATTTTCAGTCGTGCTCGTATAAGTGCGCGGTTTGCCAGCCTATAGTGGCTAGGGCTTGAATCGCTCGCAATTTCTGCTGACAGCAGCACTTCGGTTTTTGTGGGTCATCTTGCGTCCACAGCCCGAAGGCCTCATCACTCACTACTACGAGCGGAAACTGAGAAGCGCAGAGCTGTCGACGAATTAAAGTTTACGCTGGCAGGAGAATAGCATGACGATTGTTAGCGAAGCGAACTTTATGAGTGGACATAAACTTACACCATCGCCGAGACGCCTAAGTGAAAGGACATCTCTGAGATCGTGAATTGTGATATCGTCCCATTTCACATGCGAGATACCGTCCACTTTGTGAGAGAGCGACGCATGACCGTGGTTGTGTGATAATACTACCGATCTGCATGTGGGACAAACAATCCCATAGCGAAACCGATGAACCTGCGGCACATGCAAAAAATCTGCCATTGGATGCCAATGATGGTGGGATTGGTCTTCATGGATTGACCATTCTGAAGATTGAGAGCTAGAAAGGTCGAAACAGATATCTTGCCTATGTTCGCGACGAACAGTTGTTGGCCGTCAAACGACCAAGCCAACGAAGCGCGGATAACCGCTGGCGCAACCGTATTGTCCTGAATCGAAGATGATATTGCCATCGTCGGTGCTGTAGATACGGAAACCATATGTCGTCGAGATGGTCGCAAATCGAGTGCCGTCCGGAGAGAACTTGACATTAAGAATGTTAGAATGTGAGAGGTAAGGGAGGAGTCGGTCGCCGGAAGGGATGCTGAGTATCTCGACTTGGTTGTAGTCCGCAGTGGCAAGTTTAGTACCATCGCTCGAGATATCGACGTCATATACAGGGTAGCGGTGTTCTGTGAACTGGCGCACTTTTTCATGAGTGGCCGCATTCCAAAGGATCGCCCTCGCCCTGCTGTTTCCAGTCGCGATCCACCGGCCATCCGGGGAAACGGCAACAGACCAGACAGTGCCACTCGCTTTCATGATGGTTTGCCCTTGTTGCCGTCCGTCTTCGATCTTCCATCGACAAACTGCGCCATATCCATATCCTGCTATGATTTGACCTTCACCCGCAAAGGCAACTGCAAATACTCGATCGTGAGTAGTTATTTCGATCCGTTCCGCATCTTGACCGCCACAGAGAACTGTCAGTAGCACCGCCTCACCCCTCTGATTGCTGGTACGCACCCATCGTCATCGCTAACAAGCTCGCTAACACAGTTTGTCCTGTGGTTTAGAGGGGAGAAGAACAATGCACCATAGACTTGCTCGCGGCGCCAAATATATGGCCTACACGTTCCTCAAGCTATATCGATATCGATCAGCTCACACGACCTCAGCATCGTGTTCTTCAAGATCAGGACATCGATCAAGGTTTGACAGTGCAGGTCTCAGTAATGATCCCTGAGCTCCAAGATCCGGTTTTCGTCTGCACGAGGTCACGCATAGGGTAAGGGTTGGCGGCAACGTGTCGCAGGAAGACGTGGCAATGTCGCCAACCATCCAATCCCAGAAAATTGTCCATCGCATCCACCGAATGCCGTCTGCCCCACTCTCGGACCCGCCAAATCTTTGGGCTCCACGGTATCCTCACACTCGCCGATGCCCTCAGCGCTTCTCTTCCTGTTATCGGGATCTGAATCTGCCCACAAAACCAAGGCCTCATGCGATGATAACACACATTTGGGCCTCACCTCTGCCTCACGTCCATCAGTAGCCTTGTCAACGTGTCCGCCACTCTAGTGATATAGGAGAGGTAAGATGTAATTCAACAGCAGTATCATCACTGGAAACACCTCATCCACCGCAACGTGCGGCCCCTGACTTGTCGATACGTAGCCTCGTAGGAGTGCATAGGAATGAATTACCAGCTCTCGGAGCCGGAGCACTGAAAAAATCCTCACTTTGACTCAATGCTGCGCTGAAGGCTGCTCTTTGCGTTGCTCTCATTGGCGGCGGTGAGGTGGGCACTGCACGAACCAATGTCGACAGGGTTGACTGGCATTTCAGACCCGTCGGCGTTCCCTCAAAACCAACTTTCATGATGGTCTCATCTTCACAGCGATTCCTCGCTGCACTTAATGTTACAGACGGATCATTAGGTGGGCACTGGGCAATCTAATATTCAGTGGAAGTGCTAACTTGTCACAAGCGTGGAGAAGCAACTAAGCACCCATGACGATGACCACCCTATCATGACATTCGACGTGTACGACGTCTCAAGTAGATATCTTGGTTTGGCCTCTCATAGTCCAATAAACATCCTTTGCAGATATCGCACTGCTCTCTGGACCTGGTGGGCCCACTTGCGCACGTAGGACAGATCTGCAGGCCACCTTCTCCGCTACCGTCGCCTCCACAACCCTGCTGATGGTCAGACACGCGAAGTACAATACAGCGACTACATCAGGGCGTGTTTCGGTCGCGGGCCACGGGACTTTTTGTGCTCACCAACGTCGACCCGGTCAGTCGCATAGAGCGCCCGTGTAACAACGTCGCGCGTACGTGGAGCTCTCTAGACAAACGTTGACACCGTGAACAGGTCTCTTGTGATGTACTCTTGGATTCGTACGACACCAGACGCCATCTACGCGATCGGTCTCGCCAAGTCCAAGGCAACGTACACTCTCCACCAGCCTATTCATAGACAGCGAGTTCACCATTGCACCTGTCACATCACACAGGACGGATTTGTCCGTGTCGTGAGGTACAGTGGTGAGCCCTGACGACCGATATCGGAATTTACCGACGTGGTGTGTATGCAGCTGGTATATTCTACATCGCAGCCTGACAGGGGTGAGCAGCAGTCACAATCATACATGCTAAATCGCATTTCGTAGGGCGCTTTGGTAAGGGCGGCGAACGTCGCGTTGCGCGGGTGTATTGATCAACGCAAACCGTCTATGGATCCTTGTTTGTCTTCGTGCTTGTGCCAGTGTTGAAAGCTACGACGATATGGCAGCCCCAGCAAACGTTCATCCCGCGTCTTTCTGAGGACACAAGACAAGTAACGTGATATCCATTTCCATTTCCAACACGGACACGGTGTAGTTCGACACGTAACTTAAGCAATCATCTCTCTTTATCCTTTGCCGCTTGCTTCTCACCCCAGTTAAAGGTCACCTTCACCGCACGATCTAGTAGCTCTCACGAAAGGTATTGAAATGCCACACCGTGATAATAACTCAAGTTGGGGATGGGGATGATCAACAGAGTACGTTTGTGTGACTTTGCGACGAGGTCTCGACTAGGCCAAGCATTGTTCCACTCATCGCTCCGTCTGCGGAGCTTATCCAGCCCGGGAGGCTAGTGCGTTTGCCAGGAGTGCATTAAATTCGTTGATACTCGACGTCGTCCATCAATCGTGGCGTAGGGGACGGGAAGGTAACGTGGGTAGTACGTGGATGATGATGGTTGAAGCGGCAGTTTGACGGGCAAAGTGGACGACTGGCGCGCTGACTTTATATGCACAGTTGCGAGCCTGACATTTGATTTCAGGGGTATCTTCCGGGCCAGCCGGCGCTGGCTCCGCTGGCCGAAGGGAGGACGTTTGGTACGTGATTATCCAAGTTTCAATGCATGTCCGAACTGCCCACCATTATATGGGTAAATCCTATGAACGTTGGCACGGTTCTCCTGCGAGACGACTGGCGTGCTACATCTATAAAGACAACTTACGAGATCTATGCAACAAGCAACCACTGGTAGGGCTATCCGTCGTCACTCTTACCCCCGAAGGCCAGTCGTAAGCTGCCCCCGAGTCGGACAAGGTAGGATAGGATTCAAAACGAAGTATCCACGTCTGTGCCGCGTTGGTTCGTCAACTCCACAAATTGTAACCCCCCATCCTCTCCGCCGATTCTAGCCTCGACCCTATATGCTCCCTCCTTCAACGTCCAAAGGCTTTTTACGCGGATGTTCACCTTGACCGGGGCCCTCTATGCAGGTATCATCAATCTTGATTCGCGTATCGTTCAGCATCCTTGCAACCACCAAATCCACATCTCTCCCACAATCGGTGCGCCCGGCGCCCATAAAGAAACACGATTATGATTGGGTAAGTGATAAACAAAACGCATCCCCCAAAGGAGGCGCGATAGTCGCAACTCCTGATCAACGATGTCAGCTTCCTGCACTCCGTGAGTCACATATGCAGACGCTAACCGTACTTCTTGCACAGTCAGTTGCGACCCCAGTGACCCATACTCGCCGCATTCACCCGTTGCCGAAGGGACCATCTCCACACGAACCAAGAAAGAGACCGGGGCGTCTAATCGGCATCGCTCACCCATGGGATATCCTACAGCGATGTAGAGATCGGCCTGTTAATTAGAAACTGTGGTTGTGGACAGCAAGACACAGCCCCAGTTATTCTCGACTGTTAGCTGACCGAGTTACAACTTACTTCTCTTGTGGCTGTTTCCGCGTCAAGGTAATGTATCCCAGTAAATATGATCGTCTTCCCGAGGACCCTGTGCAGCGAGGAACGTAGGCGAATCCAAATCTTCCGAATATAACGTCGTGGCAAGAAAAAGGAACTTGAGAGCATGCTAGGTATGGCAGGGTGGTATTCAAATCGCGCGCGTGGTACACAACCTGAGCAACAGAATTAATGTGATCAGCATGTCATCAGAATCGTATATATACGTGGTGTATGTGTAGAACTGTGGGGAAGCCGTACCTATTGCAGATGCGGGGAATGCCCCAACACAACACTAGTACTGGGCTAGGATGACGACGCTAGTCCAAATGCTAGAGTGTCAGGAAATGCAATCTACTCCCCTGCGAAAGACAGTAGCTCATTCCCTTTTCCTCGTATGACCAGCTATGCCCGAGTCATGTAAGGTAAAGCATACGATCATGGCATCGCGTCCGGTGTATCTTAACTCGCGTCGCTTTCAACCGTCCGGCGAACTATCAAGTTTGGGTATCTGGATGTGACAGGTTAGTATGAGACAAGGAACCTGGAATCACGAGAAATGGATCACTCACCACTCGGTCTCCTAGGGGACGATCGTCCACAGGTGGAATGGACTGGCCTCTCCAGCGGTGTGGGCAACACGCAGAGTGGGAAACAACAACTAAACAGGCACAGCCACCCGCTTGTTCGAGCTGCCTTTCGTCCGCAGAGGTGTGCGCCAATACCCTACTCTGCCCCAGCCTCTTTGACTGCTGGTTGGCAAGCCCGCTAATTCAAGGTATTTGGTCCAGCTCCAAAGAATAAATGTGACAAGGGGATGGGCAGGCGGAATGTGAGTGTTTTCTGTTGCACTTCGGGTGGGGCACTGAAGCTGACACTCTTCTACGACAGTCCGGAATGTAATATTTTGTACAGTTATGCTGTATCCTGTTTATTGCCATCAGATATACCAGTCTCTTTGCTCTCGACAGGACTGAAGAGTTGTGAATGGAAGAGGCAGAACGTGTGGCATTCTCCCTGCTCGGTCGGGCTTCGGCGGATATCTCTATGACTGCAACGTACGCTCAGACTAATTCGATTCCACCGAATCAAAAGATTAAGGCTTACGTTCGTTCCTTATCCCTTCGCTGACCGACTCAGACATGCTATCTCCATAACCCCATCATCGTATCCTCGAATATGAATATGATCGAGTAAGTAACTACAGGTGCACGAAGAACAATGAGACAGCAGGATGGTCGGCCCTGTTCCACTGTCATATCCTTCATCTACATTGTCTTCTCGTTCGAATGAGGCGCCGTCACGACGACGGCCTCCAGGGCAATGTTTGCGAGTTCGCCTAATCAATCTCTTATTGACTCGAAATAGTTGCGTCTGCGGAGGATGGGAACGAACTGCCACCCTATCAATGGACTAAGCGATGAGAGCAAGAACGGAAACAGTCGCGACGACGCACGAGGAGTAGTCGTTGGTGATTACAGGTGGTCGACCGTATCGTGGAGGCTGTCGTCACAGAGAATCCACTTAATTGCATATGGGGCGAGTCATCGATCACGCTCGCGTTGCCTTGTAGGGGGCAAATACCGCGAAATCCAATAATGGCCAGCGAGTAGGCTAGCCTGCTGGTGTCTCGCTGGTGACAATAAGCCCGAAAGGCACAGTTTGTATCAACTGAGAAACGCTAGAGAATCGAATCAGGATGCTGGTGTATGGCATATCATACAGGTGAGATGTTGTCCAGGGAGAGATTGTGATCAACTCACGCGACTCATATAGGCCCAACGTTCGGCAACGGAACGGCATCGACGGAACTGCTGACAACCCTGCAGTCGACTTCAATATCCCGAGATGCATCGAAATTCTGTACCGAAACAGCGGATTGCAAATGCGTACGACCGGGTAAACCCATTCATGTGACTGTCTGACTCACGGGGGTACCTGTGCAGGATGGTATCGACTAAGTCAATGATTGTTCCTCTTGCCCCTCCATTGATAATTTCTTCAGAAGGCCAGCGCGTTCGCCAGGAGTACATGAGGTTCGCTAGTGCCCGTTGACACGACGAGAAGAGTCGGTGCTTGGCGTCATCTATCAATCGTGACGCAGAGGGGGGCTGGGGAGCAGGTGCGTAGTACGGCTGATGATAGTTGAAGAGGAAGATGGGCGGGCAGAGTAGACCACTGGCGTGCTGAATTTACAGCGGTTTGCGAAAATAATGTCAATCACAAAATATTTGTGAGCGCGTCGTGAGCTTTGCCCGATATGGAAATGTAGGAATGTGCACTTTCGTCGCCTTCATTTTGTCTACGTACTACTAGCGATGGCCAAACAGCAGCGAGAGAAACTCACAATCAAAATAAACCGACGTCGAGACCTTCCCCCAGCAGATGATGACAAGGTCGACAAGCTTCGGGCTCTTCCGCTTTCCGCAACACCCGTGGCTTCAGAGCCAGTGCCGACAGCACAGGTCGAGATTCTGGATGGAACTTTGCAACACGCTGAGTCCCTTCAAGCACAAGAATTCCACTGTAACATGATTGGCCACACTGACAGTGCCGAGAGCAGCTGTGAGGAGCAAGACTTCACAGCCATGAGTGACGCTGGAGCTGCAGATGAGCCTGATGGAACTCACCACTGTGGGGTGAGTACATTCAGAACGGCTCACAACGACGACAGAACGTGGACAGGCGTGTGGGATTAGACAATCAAGCGTATACGCTGATACAAGATGCTCAACAGAGCAAGTGAGAGGAAAGAGAGAAAAAGAAGAGACGACCTGCGCATACATGCAGCACTAGTATATATACTCCTAGGGTCTAAACAGTACAACACAGCAGGAGGGATCCGCATGCCTAGACGAGGGCACGATCGAGGGAATAGGAGATGTGACGACGTGAAGCGATAGCGTGAACGGTGCTTACGGTGCGTGAGTGGCAAGCGGTAAGTGGTAAGGTAAGCGAACGCTTACACCTGACGGTGTTGAGGTAGAGGATCAGTGGCAATCAGATAGCAAAGAGTCAAATGGTAACTGATAACTTTCATCTATGCATTATTACTGACCGCTTTCCATCAAGGAAAAGGTTCTGGGACTGCATTCATCAACCTCAACCCGATGTCATTTAGAACTTTGTGCGGGCGAAAGCAGCCTGAATGCGGCTCAATTTCACGCTCAGAGGATGAATCATTACTGCAGAAATCATCGAAAAAGGTGTGCACTACTGAAATCCACCATAGTTTACTGCTACTCATGCGGTTAACCAGAGAACTAAAGCTGCACAACGCGAACCCAAGCAACGAAAGAAAACGAAAGTTCAAGCAGATCTGAGTGCAGAGGAAGACTGTTCAACAATAGATGCACCTGTAGACGAACCACGACTGTTCACAGTCTATGTTCAAGTGTGGGCTACCTCTCCGGACTCTCGAAAACCAGGTGGGAAATCTACAAAGGTCTCGGTGACCAAAATCACCTCCAAGGGACCCTTCAAGTGTGATACCACTTCTGCTTTTTTCTCCTTTAAGTCTCGTGTCGCAAAAGCCTTGTCTTGTCGAGTGTCAGCGCTTCCAGTCTCGAAGTTCGAATGGAAGTTTGAGAATCAAGCACAAGGCGCCCCACGAAAGAAAGTTGCCGATGAAGCTGGTTATGAGGCGCTCATTGATGCTGTGAAGGCGAAGCGCCGGCACGAGAATGTGGTTGTTTGGCTTTATACCCCAGTGCCGAAAAAAGATGAAGAGGTATGGCCCCCCTGGATGAACCATTAGTGCCAGCTAATCCGTAATTTTGGAGGATTGGGATGTGGGTGGGGCAGATGGCGCTGATCAGGGCTGCCTCAGCCCCTCTGGCTACTAGTACGTACCCATCCGTATCGCTAACAAACCCGCTAACACAGCTTGTCCTGGAGTTAGAGGGGAGAAGAACGATGCATCATGGACTTGGACAAGGCACCCAATATATGGTCGGCCCTGTCCTCAAGCCTCACTGCGCCGAAGTCACATCGTGTTCTCCAAGATCAGAGTATCGATGGGGATCTGGCCGTACACGCCCCAGCAATGGCCCCTGAGCTCCACAAGGTCCGGTGTTTTCGTTTGCACGAGGTCATGCATAGGGCAAGGGTTGGCGGAGACGTACCGCAGGAAGACCTGGTGACGTATTGGCAATATCTACAATCATCCAATCCCAGAAAATTGTTCCACCGCATGCACCAAATGTCCTCGGCCCCACCCTCGGTCCCGCCAAATCTTTGGGCTCCGCCATGTCCTCACACGCTGATACCCTCAGTCCTCTACTCCCTTCCATCAGGATCCGAATCTGCTCACAAAACCAAGGCCACACGCGACAACACACATCCGGGTCTCACCTCTGTCTCGCGTCCATCAGTAGCCTCATCAACGTATGTACCACTCCAGCGAGATGGAAGAGGTAAGATGTAATACGACAGCGATATCGTCAGCGGCAAACGTCCCATCTATCGAATCGTGCGGTGCCTTAATTGCCAATGCGTAGCCTCGTAGGAATGCATAGGAATACATGAGAAGCTCTGAAAGCTGAAGCGCTGAAAAAATCCTCCCTTTGACTCAGCGCTGCACTTGAGCCTGCTCGTCTCGTCAATGTCATTGGCGGGATGAACTGGGCGCTGCACGAATCCGATGTTGGTGTGGTCGGTCGGCATTCCAGGCTCGTCTAGGTTCCATTCAAAACCAGCTTTCATCCTCAGAACGATAGCCAACTATATCTTCCCTGCATTCAATGTTACCGAAGGATCATTAGGTGGGCACTGGGTAGTTTAATTTTCAGTGGAAGTTTTGGCTCATTGCGGGCGTAGACAACGACGACTTAAGTAGGTCTCTGTCGTCTAGTGTCTCATCATATATTAGACACTCCTTGCAGACGTCGCATTGCGATTTGGGCCTGGTGGGTCCACCTCGCGCACGCACGACATATTTACGGACCACCTTCTTCCTGAACATCGCCTCCACAACCCCGCTTGCGCTCGAACACGGAGTACAGCACACGGCAATCACAACAAGGCGGGCTTCGGTTCAGGGGAGCAGGACGTTCTTTGCGCTCACCGATAACGACACAGTCAGCTGCCTAGACAGCCAGTCTGGCGAGGTTGTGTAGGTATGGAATTCTGTGGACAATGGGTTTTCCCAATTTCCTTTTGCACAGCGGCGCGTAGACACCAGGATATGTCCTTTGTGGTGTACTCCTGCATTCATACGACGCCAGATGCCGTCCATGCGACCGGTCTCGCCAAGTCCAAGGCGGAATACACTCCACGTCATAACTCTCTCCATGGCCAACAGGTCTACCGTTGCGTCTGTCAACATCCCCGCTAACTTCCGGCAGATTTTCCCGGTTTCGTTCTTGACACGCCTATAACTGCAGAAATCAAACTAGGACCTTGTCTGACGTGACTGGAATCATCCTCAATTAGAGCAGCAGTGCTCACCCTTGAACTGAAAGGCCATGTCCAGATTCTACCCGAGGTTAACTACACGCATATGCAAGACATCGGACTCGCAGAGACGGGATAGTTTATTGCATTCACACTGAACGGGTCTGTCCATGTCATGAGGTACAACTGACAGTCTACGGCTGATGTGGGAAATTACCAACGGGGTTCGTATCCGGCTGGTATATTATACATCGCAACCTGACGGGATGAGCAAGCACCGTCACAGACACACGCTGAGTCGTATTTCGCAGGGAGCTTTGGTAAAGCCGGCAAACCTTGCATTCCGAGAGTGTATTGGTCACATGCAAACCGTATATGTATCCTCACCTTTCTCTGTTCTTGTGCCTAGCGTTGAAAGGTACGACGACATGGCAAGTAATTCGCCAGACGTTCATTCCGCCTCTTTCGGAGGGTACAAGACAAGTAACAGGATTTCCATTTCCATTTCCAACATACGGACACGTTGTAAGTAGGGAGGCCTGGGGACAGGAGATGGGGAGACAGCCACGTAGTGCTTAGTCAGACGGACGAGGACGAGGACATGCACTGTACGGCTAGACGCATCAGCCTATAGCTTCCCCCGAGCTCTACTGATTGCTCGGAGGATCTCTCCCACTACTTCAACGTAAGCGATCATCTCTCTTTATCCTCTGCCACTCACTTTTCACTCCACTTAATGATCACTTTCAACGGACGATCTAGTAGCTCTACGAAAGGTATTGGAATGCCATACTGTGATAGTAACTCAAGCTGCAGATGCGGAAGATCAGTGCAGCATGTGGTCAGGGATTCCTCTACTCGTCCCTCCGTCTGCGGAGCTGGTCCTGCTTGGAAAGGCCAGTGCGTTTGCTAGGAGTACATGAGGTTCCTTAGTACTCCACATCGTCCATCAATCGTGACGTAGGGAGGACGGGTACGTTGATAATGATAGTCGAAGAGGAAAGGTGGACGGGCAGAGCAGGCGACTGGCATGCTGAATTTATAATGGCAGTTGGGAACCTGTCATCTGATGTCCGAGGCTACTTTCTAGGTCACCCATCTTTTGGCTGCCGGCCGGCCGAAGGGACGAGGTATGGTACGTGATCATCCAAGTTTCAATGTGTGTTCGAACTGTCGATCATTATATACGTAGAGCCTACAAACGTTGGTAGGGTTCTCCCTCCGAGACGACTGGCGTGCTGCATCCAGAAGCACAATTGGAAGGCTGACATCCGATACCGAAGGCTCTTGTGGTCAGCCATCTTTTGGCAGTCAATTCGCAAAATACAATAAACAACCACTGGTAGGATTCTCCGTTGTTACCCTTGCCCTTGAAGACTAGTCATAGTCGTAAGCTGCTCACATGCCTCAGTCAGATGAGGTAGGATAGGATTCGAAATGAGCGAAACAGCCACCTCTATGCCTTGTCGGCTCGTCAACTCCACAAATTCCAAATTCCGTCCTCTCCACTAATTGCGGCCTGACTTCAGATGCTCTCTCCCTGAACCTCTACACACCGCAACGTCCCCCTGATTACGGAGGTATCATTAAACTTGATAAAATTCCATACCTGCGCGGAGCATCATCATCCGGCTTCTTCTCCATGCACATTTCCACTGAAACGATCCTCCAACCCTTCGTACCCCACCACCCATCCCATAACCTTCATCCACACCAGCCCCGCCTTTGTAACACGTGTACACCGGTCAATGATCAACCAGCACCCCTTGGACATCGTTGCATCTTCCCTCGGGGGAAGATATACCCACCTGGTACAAAATCATCCCTTTGACGCTATCCAGCACATATAACCCGCACGATCCCTTTGCTTCGGTCAACACGACCCACAGATGCCTGTTCAAGTACTTGTACAATCTTCTACGGTCTCCTAAGACCTTCTCAACAACTAATGCCTCTCGACCCGCGTTCCTGTTCAGATTCGTCTCCCGGATCATTTCGCGAGCGCCAAGCGTGATCCCTGTCATGTGGGATATGCGACGTGTACGGAAACGTTGTCGTTGAAGGCGAGACGATGTCCGACGAGCTGTGTGCGTGTCGATAGTTCATCGTTGTCACCATTCGCTCTGGGACTCAAGGCAGGAGATGTGCGTGCGGGAGGACGAGGTGAAGTGAAGGAACGAGACGTGCCAAGGACTTGCGGGCAACTGGAGTATCTGGGTAGATCTGAACCCATATATTGCGTAGTCGACCAATACAAGCCACACACGAAGAAGCTAACGCGTTTTAAAAACGAAAAACACAAACTTACTTGCAGAAACTCATCCAAAATGGCAACAGTGCCCTGCCCATCAGGAACAAGTGATTCGGTCATTAGGCCCCTTATCACAACCTTCTAATAGATCATACCTTGAACGATGGGTGCCGCAGCCCTCACCAGCTTCAGGATGCACGTCATCGCCAGCTAACGGGTCCACCTCGAATACGACCGCACCCACATGGCGCTTTATGTCAGGTTTTTAAAAAAAGAAGTTGGTAAAACTTGCCCATTAGGGTGATGGAACCACATACATTACGCGCCCGTCTCTGCGTCACCAGTACAATAGTCTGTTTCATCGTCTCCTCTTCCTGACCACTGGAATTGCCCAGACGTTCCACATTCCCAGGTACAACATACATATTCACAGCCAAAACCGTCCCTCATACACTGCCAGAGGCCCAACCCAACGCAAATAGGCGCCTCCAAATCACCCGTCCATCGCTCGAGTCGAGACCGCACAAAACGTCATCCACTGTTGCCGTAACAATCACATGGCGGAACCTGAATCAATCACTGTGGAGAGCGGAAGGTGCGTCAGAACTATGCATCGGTCCATATTCGCGGGTGATGCGGCCCAACGTGTACGTATACGAGTGCTGTAGGATACTCTCGGCAAATCGTTAAAGGCAGGTTAGGAAAGTACTGGATATGCCAGTCGATCTGGTGGACGGGCTGCTAGATACACTTAGTTGAGGTAAAGGTACGAAAGTAGCAACGCGGACGGTCGAGAGCGCTTCCTCGCGGGACCACTGCAGAACAACGTGTTTCCATAACTGAAGTGTGCCTGTTGACGTCGTCAGTATAAATTGCGTAATCTTGTTAGTGTCATTAGATCGTCCGTCGAAGGTAACCTTTGGATAGGTAGAGAGTGAGTGGCAGAGAAGGGTAAAGAGAGAGGATTGCTTACGTGTCGAATTACACCTTATCCGTGTGTTGGGAATTGAAATGCGTATCCCGTTACTTGTCCTGTCCCCTCAGAAAGACAGGGGATGAATATCTGAAGGATTGCTCGCCATACCATCGTAGCTGTCAATACCAACACGGGCATAAAGACGAGCGGGGATACATGCACGGTTTGCGTGTGGCCAATACACTCTCACATTAATGTGAGGTTCGCCGTTCTCACCGAAGCTCCCCACAAAATGCGACTCGCTGTGCGTCTGTGACGGTGCCTGCTCATTCCTGTCAGGTTGCGGGGTGGAGAGACAGTCGTACTATCTGGATACGTACCGCGTTCGCAAATTCCCACATGTGTCGCAAATTTATTTGGTCCATTGTCACGTGCCCCCATTGTAAGCAGCATGTAATGGACCACTTGCCATTATAATGGTCAGGTTTGGCTAGATTATAGCAAATATGTGATATTTTATCTAAGATATAGTGCAAATGTGTAAAATATTATGTACAAATACCCATTTTTGGTAATCTTTCAATGACACATGGGTGGCATTGCCATGGCTTATAACGGAAGTGTGAACAGCCACCTTAACATGTATTATAAGGTTCTTATCACGTGCCCAAGAAATTTGCGACATGACATGGGCAGACCCTTCCTGTGTGAATGGGGTAAACTGTTCCGCCCCTCATTGCCCAGCTCACCGCCACTGTGGGTTAGGAACTGATTGGAGACGCGCTAATTAGCCACTCAGACAACTGTGACGACGACGACGGCCTACGACCCCGACAGATGCATCGCCCAACTGATGGACTGCCAACATCTGCCCGAACAAGACATGAAAATCCTCTGCGACACCGTCCAAGCCATCCTCCTCGAGGAATCCAGCATCCGGCCTGTATTAACACCAGTCACCATCTGCGGCGACATTCACGGCCAGCTGTTAACAATACGGAAGCACCGCAGTATGGAAAGCTTGCTGTACGGCGTGTTCGACTATCGAGTCTGAACCTCGCTGCAGTATGTCACCACGCATCCCCGACTAACACCACTTATAACCTATATCAGATCACCGCCGGAGGAGCACTACGCGTACACGGCAGACTTTCTCCAGACATACGTACGCTCGACCAAATTCGCGTCCTGCCGAGAGCCCAGGAGAATCCCCCACAGAGGCACATTCTGCAGTGTGCTCTCAGCCTCCCTCAAGCTGAAATCGTTTGATGATGCTGTCCACAGACCTTATGTGGTCAGATCCTGGTGACGTCGATAATTGGACCGTGAGCCCCCGCGGAGCAGGCTGCCATTCAGGTTAATCCCATATACTCAGTCTACCATCCCCACAGTTCAACCACGTCAGCTCACTCAGCCTTATCACCCACGCGCGCACCAACTCGTTCAAGAAGGTTACAAATACATGTTCGACAACGCCCTAGTCACCGTATGATCCGCGCCCAATTATTGCTAACGATGTGGGAATATGGCGTCTGTGTTAACGCTAAGAAAGGGTGGGGAGCCTGAATTCAGGGCATTTGGTCCGGCTCCCGACAATAAAAGGGACAAATGGACGGACAGGCGGAATGTGAATATTTTCTGTTACACTTCGGCACTGAAGCACTTACATTCTTCTACGACAGTCCGGAGTGTAAGATTTTGCACAATTATGCTGTGTCCTGTTTACTGCTGTCAGATATAACGATCTCTTTGCTCTCGACAGGACTGAAGAGTTGTGAATGGAAGACGCGCAACGCGCTGCATTCTCCTGCTGTGTCTGACCTCTGCGGACATCTCTACGACTGCAACGTACGCTCGGAGTAGGTACGCAGACCAATTCGATTCCACCGCGTCAAAAGATTAAGATTTCCGTCAGGCTTGCGTTCGTTCTTTTTCCCTTCGCTAGCAGACTCAGATGTGCTATCTCCATCACCCCATCACCGTATCCTCGAATATGAACATAATTAGGTAAGTAACTACAGTTGCACGAAAAACAATGAGACAGCGGGATGGTGGGTCGTGTGCCACGCCATATCCATCATATCCATTGTCTTCTCGTTCAAATGAGGCACTGTCACGACGATGGCCTCCAGGGCAATGTTTGCGAGTAATGGCCTGCGCCGTAAGCACTATCAGTTCCCCATCCAGTGCCACCAGCTATGCGGGCACTACAAAACGTACCTCTAATCCCACAAGCTCGAAAAGTTCGCCCAATCAATCTCTTATTGACCCGAAAAAGTTGCACCTGCGGAGGATGGAAACAGACTGCCGCCCTATCAGTGGACTAAACGATGAGAGCAAGAATGGAAACACCCACGACGACGCACGAGGAGTAAGTCGTTGGTGATTACAGGTGGTCGACCGTATCGTGGAGGTTGTTGTCTAGAGGATCCACTTAACTGCGTACGGGCGAGTCCTCGATCACGGTCACGCTGCCTTGCAGGGGGCAGACACTGCGAAATCCGATGACGGTCAGCAACTTGGCTAGCCTGTTGGTGTCTTGCTGGCGACAATGAGCCCAAAGGGCGCGGTCCGCACCAATAATGAAACGCTAGAGAATTGAAGCAGAGTGTTGGTATATGACGTATCATACAGGTGAGATGTCGTCCAGGGAGAGATTACGATCAACTCGCGACTCATATAGGCCCAGCATTCGGCAACGGAATGGTGACCATGGAACTGCTGACAACCCTACAGTCGACTTCAGTGTCCCGAGACGCATCGAAATTCTGTACCGCGAAAGTGGATTGCAAAGCGTATGACCGGGTGAGCATATCCATGTGACTATCCGACTCACGGGGGCATCTGTGCAGGGTGGTATCGTCTAAGTCAAGAATTACTCCTCTCGTCCCTCCATCGATAATTTCTTCGGAAGGGCCAGCGCGTTTGCCAGGGGTACATGGGGTTCGCTGGCGTCCGTTGACACGACGAGAAGAGTTGGCGCTCGGCGTCTTCCATCAATCGTGACACAGGGGGACGGGGCAGTAGGTGCGCAGCACGGCTGGCGATGGTTGAGGAGGAATATTGGCGCGCAGAGTGGACGACTGGCGTGCTAACATCAAAAGGGGAGTTGGGATCCTGACATCTGATTTCGGGGGCCACTTTCCGGATCAGCAACTTTTGGCTGCCGGCTGGCCGAAGGGATGGGACCTGGTACGTGATCATCTAAGTTTCAATGCGTATCCGCACTGCTGGTTGTGATGTGTAGAGTCTACAGGAGGTTGGTAGGGTCCTCCCTCTAAGAACGACTCGCGAACTGTGAGGCCGACATTCGATTCTGAAGGTGCTTGAATCATTACGTACAACAAACAGCCATTGGTAGGGCCTTTCATTGTCACCCTGTCCTCGAAGGCTAGCCGCAGCCTGCTCTTGGATCGAAGGTAGGAAAGGATTCACAACGAAACAAGACATCCACATTTATACCATCATCGGTTCGTCAGCTCCAACCTCCGTCCTCTCCACTGATTCTAGCCTCCTTCAACACGTACCATCCAACCATCGAATCCCCATCACCTTAACATTCGGTGGCGCGAGACACCCATGAAGAAACGCGAATATGATTGGGTAACAGAACAAGGCGCATCCTCCAAAGAGTTCCGGACAAGGAATTGTTGGGGTTGTTGTGGGATACGTATTAGGTGAATACATCGTGTTAGCATATTCGCAGATGGACAGCTTTGGTTGGCCCGGATAGGACTACGCATATTTGCAAAGGATGCGACGACGTCAGGAGGGGTATGAGGACGATGAGCAAAGACTACGAAAACAGCACAAAAATACGAACAAAAAAGTGACCCGCTAAAGGAAGAAATACAGACCAGATGTAACAACTAGCAGTCCCCCCACACGCACGTCAAAGGATTTCTAGCACTTTCGTTCGAATGTTCTTCGAGGTAATGTTGGTTCCGAGTCCCGAGACGACAATTTCCCTCTCCGCAGCCACCCTCTTGTACGTTCCATTCGACTGCTGTACTAGAAGCAACGCATTGAACGGCTGTCCAAGACGAGCAATCATCTCCAGTGCCCGGGTATGGTTGTCAATCTGAGTGGCAGGGACAGTGGGTAATGGCGCAACTTCATGCGGGTCAGAATCAGTATCGGACTCCGAGTCATCGCCCCAGGTAACCCCACCATTCGGACCTCGGATATCATCGATCCATGGATGTGCGAAAACGAATTTCTGTGTTCCATTCAGCGAGAGCTGGTCCGCGGTCGTGAACTCCACTTGGCCAAGTCCCGATACCCGGGCACGATATAACTTTTCAATGCCTCCGCGTAGCTCCTCAAGACTTCTCACAGGGAAGATGATACACGGGAGGTGCAGACGTCGGGCTGCAAAACGCGCGGGGGAAAGATGGCTAATCTTATTACATATAATGCGCGCTTCTTCTCTGGCCAACTTGTAACGTAGCTTCGTGATGCAACTTTCCATTTCGTTCCCTTCGAGTGATGGGGGGCTGCAAGGAATTTGGCTGTAAACGGAAATAGAAGCCGGGAGACAACTGTTGTATGACGATGACTCTCCTGACCATGCAAGCACAGTGACCTCGCCGGTGCGAGTTACGATCTCCTCTAGGAGATGTCCGAGAGCGTTGGTTCCTTCGCCATAGCAGGGGGTGATATCAGACTTGAATATGCCGATCAGAGAGTATGCAATGTCTTCGTCCTTTGTCGCGTTGCGTGTAGAAGCGAGACGAAGTTTTTCGCGAACCCCAAGGTTGTCTGGAGAGAAGGAGACGATGGTTCCGGGCAGAATCTTGATAGCGTCCGCCAGCTCTTGCATGATCTCCGGAGATTCCTTGTGGTTCTCGCTATCATCGCCGAGGTATAGTTTCCACTTGGAGTCATAGAAAAAGATGACATTCGGTGAGAGAAGCTCTTGTAAAGTCCAAGCTCGGGTCATCCATTTACTACGCGCAAGGTCCCCAGGCCTGGATGGATGCACTACACCGGCAAGGAACACAAGTGTGGCCGCCGAATTCGCATACCATCTGTACATTGAAGTAAGGGATTCGTTAAGGATGGAGCTGTTGAGCTTGTCGATACAACACGTATCCGACCAGGCCCAATTGTAACCGAGCTCGCGCGTTTCCTTGCAGAAATCATGCAACTTCTTATTCAGGAGCGTGTCGGGGAGGTCCCACACGGAGTTGACTTCGTTGACATCCTGGACCGGAAGGTCCCACACGGATTTGACTAGCTTGACGTCCTGGAACGACGGCTCCTTCCCCTGCCATGCGTGCGAGAACATGACGTATGCGAAAAATCTTTTAACCACAGGTCGGATCCGCGTCTTGTCCACTTTTTTCGTCATGGATGATACAAGTTCTTTGAAGCTCGGGTCGGCCTTGAATATACGCATCCGCTCAGCCTCGTCGCAAAGGCGACCAGTAGTGACATCGATGACGACGAAGGGACAACAGATCTCGCGGATGATGGAATTGATAGCCACAATTGTGTCGGAGGGTGAAATGTAGTTCTTACGGAGTTCTATGAAACTGTTATTTGTGGATATTGGATTCATGTAGGAGAAACATACGGAAGATTGCAGGGTCACGGGACCGTTCGATGCTATATAGCATGGACTTGAAAGCCTCAATCGCCTGGTCATATTGCTTCGCGCCATGAAGTGCCACGTGCTTGACCTCATAGCCCCAAGGGCTGGAGGGATCTGCTTTCACCGCCTATACAGCAACTGTAAGGGAACCCACTCATACAAGAAAGATATCATGCATACCTCGTTTGCATCCTGTAGTGCATCCTCCCACAACTCTTTTGCAGCTCGAGCTCTGCTTCGTTTAATGAGCAGCTTGGCGGGACTTTGAGGACTGAGGGACAACGCAGCAGAGTACTGTGTTATCGCCTCATGATGTTTTGAAGATCTAGAAGCATTATCGCCAATGCGCTCAAGCGTTGCAGCACATTTTTTGGTGAAGGCTGATGACAGACATGAATGTGCACGTTAACTAGAAGTTACAAGGCACACCTGAGATCCAATCCGCAATTGGGTTTCTCTCCTTGTCTGATGTCCGGATGATATTGAGGAGGATCTCCGTGGCATCGGCTGTACGTTCTTCAGCATAGAGGGTCTCACATAGACATTGCTGGGCAGCGATATCCAGTCGGTTGAAACTCCACCCAAATATCTTCATGGAGGGTTGAATTAATAAGGAGTGCTCGTAACAGCAGAAGACATACGAGCGAGATTGTCACTAGCGGAGGACATCGTTTGTTCTTTGGGGCCAGGCTCTTCGCGTGTTCCATCAATGGTATCGCATGTCCGTAACTTCCCTTCTTCAGGTACATAATTCCAAGCACCTGTGCGGTGAATCAATAGCGATACTCATGTCTGCGTCACGCAATGCACGTACCTGGGTGTAGAGGTATGTGGCGTCGTCGTCGTCGTCACTGTTCGCTGTTGTAACAAGGTACTCCGCGCGTGTTATCCCGTCTTCTTGATTTCCGGATTCAAACACAAGGATCGACTGAACGGAATGTAGATTAATTGTGAGAACGATCTAGATCACTTGCCGCACCTTCAACAGTAAAAGAAATCTGATGTCGTGCAGCTCACAATCAAGAAATGCAAAGTCGAATGTGCGTAGCGCACCCTCTCGATCGCCATGGCCAAGTAGAGCAATCGCCATCGCGATATGGCCTATAGGTGATCGCTGAGCCCGGAGGGACTTGATGTGTATGTGAGCAACCATACAGATGGAGCGGTGAGGAAGCAGACTCACTTCTTTTGCATCCTCTATTGCAGGTGCCAAACGTTTAAGTCGTGTTCGTACAAGTGCGCGATTTGCTAGCACGTAGTGATTAGGGCTTGAAGTGCTCGCAATCTCCTTTGACAGAAGCATTTCGGTTTGTGTCGGATCGTCATGTGTCCACGACTCGAAGGCCTCGCTACTCACTTCTATGAGTGAAAACTGAGAAGTTGACGACGGATTAAACCATCACGATGGACACAAGAGTAGCGCGGTGGTTATTAGTGAAGTGAGCCTCGTGAGTGGATATACACTTACGCTAAAGGGAGGGACAACTCTGAGATCGTGAATTGTGATATTCCTGCCATTTCCGCATGCGAGATACTGCCCGCTTGGAGAGACAGCGACGCATATGGGCCTTTCGGTGTATGTGATAATGCTACCGATCTGCTTGTGGGACAGACAATCCCACAGCAAAACTGATAAATATGTGGCACATGCAATGAACCTGCCGTTGGATGCTATACGTAGTTTGGATTGGTTTTCATGGATGGACCACTCCGAAGATGAGGACTTGGAAAGGTCGTAACAGATGAGTTTGCCTTCGCCCGCGACGAACAGTTGCTGTCCATCAGGCGACCAGGCCAACGAAGTACACGACGAAGAGGGGCTGGTGTCACCGCTTTGCCACCCATGATTGAACAAGATATAGCCACTGTCGGAGCTGTAGACACGGATACCTCGTGCCTGCGAGATAGTAGCAATTCGAGTGCCGTCCGGAGAGAACTTGACATCAAGAACAGAAAAATGTTCGAGGCAAAGGAGTCGTTTGCCGGAAGGGAAGCTGAATATCCGGACGTTGTGGTAGTCCGCAGTGGCAAGTTTAGTACCGTCGCTCGAGATATCGACTGTTCCTACATCACGGTGTTCTCCGAACGTGCGCACTTTTTCATGAGTGGCAGCATTCCAGAGGATCGCCTCATTTCCGCTCTCTCCAGACACGATCCACCGGCCATCCGGGGAAACGGCAACAGAATAGACAGTGTCATTCGCTTTCATGGTTGGACCCTGTTGCTGTCCGTCTTCAATCTTCCATCGACGAATTCCGCCATACCGCGAATATCCTGCTACGACCTGACCTTCGCCCGCAAAGGCGACTGTGTATACATTGTTCTCAGATCCAATTTCGATCCGTTTCGCATCTTAACCGCCACAGCGAACTGTCAGTAGGGCCGCCTCAACCTCTGACTGCTGGTACGCACACATCGTCATTGCTAACAAGCCCGCTAACAGAGTTTGTCCTGGACCTTAGATGGGAGAAGAACGATGCATCATAGACTTGCTCGCGGCGCCGAATATATGGACGGCTAGTTCCTCTCGCATCCGTGCACACAAGTCACATTGTGTTCTTCAAGATCAGAGTATCGGTGGAGATCTGGCAGTGCACGCCCCAGCAATGACCCCTGAGCCCCACAAGATCCGGTTTTGGTCTACACGAGGCCACGCATAGGGGAAGGGTCGGCGGAAACGTGTCGAAGGAAGACGTGGTGACGTATCTACGACTATCCAAACCCAGAAAATTGACTATCGCATGCACCAAATGCCCTCTGCCCCGCCCTCGGTCCCGCCAAATCTTTGGGCTTCACCATGTCCTCACACTTGCCGATACCTTCTCACCAGGATCTCAATCTGAATCTGCCCACTCGTCAACACGTGCCCACCTTAACGAGACGGGAGAAGCAAGATGTAATACGACAGCGGTATCGTCACTGGAAAACATCTCATCCATCAAAACGTGCGGCGCCTGACTTGTTGATACGTAGCCTCGCAGGAGTGCATAGGAATGCATTACAAGCCCTCGACGCTGGAGCACTGAAAAAATCCTCACTTTGACTCAATGCTGCACTTGAGGCTGCACTTCGCGTCGCTGTCATTGATGACGGTGAGGTGAGCACTGTACGAATCGATGTCGCCGTGGTTGACCGGCATTCCAGACTTATCGGGCTTCCACTCAAAACCAACTTTTATGACGAGCTCATCTTCGCAGCGAAGGCCAGCAACGTCTTCGCCGTACTCGGTGCTGCAGACGGGTCATTAGGTGGGCACTGGGCAATCTAATATGCAATGGAAGTTCTCATTCGTCGCAAGCGTGGAGGAGTATCCACGGCGGTGACGACCCTATCATGACATTCGACATGTACGACGACTCAAGTACATGTCTCCGTCTGACGTCTTGTGGTCTAATAAACATCCTTTATAGATGTCGCAATGCTCTCTGGACTTGGTGAGTCCATTTTGCGCACGTAGGACACGTCTCCTGGCCACCTTCTCCGCTGACGTCGCCTCCACAACCTTGCTGATACTCAGACACACGAAGTACAACACACAGCGACCACAGCAGGGCGTGTTTCGGTCGCGGGGGCACGGGACTCTTTGCGCTCGCCAATGGCGAGACGGTTCGTCGCTTCGGCCACCCGTCTGACGACGTCGCGCGTGCATGGAGCTCTGTAGACAATGGGTTTGCTTAGTATCCTCCTTTACAGCGACACGTTGACACCATGATAAGTCTCTTGTGATGTACTCCTAGATTCTTACGACACCAGACGCCATCTGCGCGATTAGTCCCGCCATGCCCAAGGCAGCGTACCATCTCCCCGCCACCAGTCTGTTCATAGGCAACGGGTCCACCATCGCATTTGTCAACATCACTGTAAACCTCGGAAAGCACGTGCTCGATTTTATCCTCCTTATGCCAGACATCGGACTCGCGGAGGCGGGACAAGACGGGTCTGCCCATGCCTTGAGGTACAATGGTGAGTCCTTACGACCGTTACGGGATCTTACCGACGTGTGTGCGTATACACCCGGCGTATTCTACATCGCGGCCTGACAGAGATGAGCAGGCACTGTCACACACACCCTGAGTCGCATTTCGTAGGGGCCTTTAGTAAGGGCGGCGAACCTCGCGTTGCGCGAGTGTATTAGCCACGCGCAAACCGTCTATACATCCTTGTTTGTCTCTGTGCTTGTGCCAGTGTTGAAAACGACGATATGGCAAGCAATCCGCCAGATTTTTTCATCCCACGTCTTTCTGAGGGTACTAGACAAGTAACGGATATCCATTTCCACTCCCAACACACAGATACGGTGTAATTCAACACGTAAGCGATCATCTCTATTTATTCTCTGTCGCTTGCTTCTCATCCCACTCAAAGGTCACCTTCGACGGACGATCTAGTAACTCAATCAAATTGCAGATGCGGAATATCAGCAGAGTACGTGACTATGTGATGAGGTCTCGACTATGTCAAGGATTCCTCTGCCCATCCCTCCGTCTGTGGAGCTTGTCCTGCTCGGAAGGGCCAGTGCGTTTGCCAGGAGTACTTAAGGTTCACTGGTACTCGAGGTCGTCCATCAATCGCGACCTAGGGGGATGGGAAGGTAACGTGGATAGTACGTTGATGATGATGGTTGAAGCGGAAGGTGGACGAGCAAAGTGGACGACTAGCGTGCTGAAATTATATGAGCAGTTGCGAGCCTGACATCTGATTTCAGGGGTACCTTCCGCGCCAGCCACCTTTGGCTGCGCTGGCCGAACAGAGGAGGTTTGGTACGTGATCATCTAAGTTTCAATGTATGTCCGAACTGCTGATCATCATATGCGTAAATCCTATAAACTTTGGTAGGTTTCTCCCTTCGAGACGACTGGCGTGCTGCGTTTATAACGACAACTTACGACATCTATGCAACAAGCAACCACTGGTAGGGCTCTCCGTCGTCACCCTTGCTCTCGAAGGCTAGTTGTAAGCTGCCCCCGAGTCGGACAAGGTAGGATGGGTTAAAAACGAAGTAAAACGAAGTTTCCACATCTATACCTCGTTGGCTTATCAACCCCACAAATCGCAACCCCCCATCCCCTCCGCCGATTCTAGCCCAGACCTTATATGCTCCTTTCCTCAACGTCCAAGAGGCTTTGTAGACGGATGTCCACCTTGACTGGGGGCCTTTATCTATGGAAGTATCATCAGTCTTGATTCGTGTATTGTTCAGAATCCTTGCAGCCACCAAATCCACATCTCCCCCACATTTGGTGGCACCCGACACCCATAAAGAAACACGAATATGATGGGATAGGTAATAGAACAAAGTGCATGCCCCAAAGGAGGTGCGATAGGCGCAACTCCTGATCAACGATGTCAGCTTCCTGCACTCCGTGAGTTACAAACATGGGGACGCTAACCGTAACCCTTGCACCGTCAGTTACGACCCCAGTGATCCATACTCTCCGCATTCACCCGTTGCCGGAGGAACCATCTCCACACGAACCAAGAAGAGAGACCGGGGCGTCTAATCGGCGTCGCTCACCTCATGGGATATCCTAGAGCAATATCGAAATCGGGCCCGTTGATTAGAAACTGCGGTTGTGGATAGCAAGACCCATTAGCTCCAGTTATTCCTCGACTGTTATCTGGCCGAATTGCAACCTACTTCTCTTGTGGCTGTCTCCACGTCTAAGGTAATGTATCCTTCGGAATCCCAGGTAAATATGATCGTCGTCTTAGAGGATCCTGTACAAGCGAAGAACGTAAGCGAATCCAAATCTTCCGTATGTGCCGCCGGGGTGAGAAAGGAGGAACTTTGGCGTACTAGGTGTGCGGGGTGGTAACCAAATCGTGCGCATTGTACACGACCTGAGCAGCAGTATTGATGTGATCAGCATGTGGTCAGATACGCAAGGCTCGCGTATGTATCTGTGTGGTGCATGCGTGCAGCTGGGGGGTGGAGGTACCTATTGCAGGTGCAGGGAGTGCCCCAACACGGGAGCGAGGTGAGTAGCGGGAGCATGAGGACATCCTCGCTTCAGGCGCCCAGATTATCCTATTCCCAGCATGCTGCGTGTCTCCGTATATGGTCGGCACGTTCCTCAAGCATCAGTGCATACAAGTCACATCGTATTCTTCGACATCAGGATACCGATGGGGATTTGGCAATACACCCCCAAGCAATAGTCCCTGAGCTCCACACTGAGATCCGGTGTTTTCGTCTGCACGAGGTCATGTATAGGGCAAGGGTTGGTGGAAACGTGTCGCAGGAACAGCTGGTGCAATTCCTGAAAGTTATCCACCGTACGTATGCACCAAATGCTCTCTGGCCCACCTTCGGTCCCGCCAAATCTTTGGGCTCCACCGTATCCTCACACTTGCCGGTACCCTCAGCCCTTAATTTCCTCTTGCCAGGGTCCGAATCTGCGCAGAAAAACAAGGCCTCAGGCAATGATAACACAGTCGGGCCTTACCTCTGTCTCACGTCCATCAGTAGCCGCGTCAACGTGTGTACCACTCCAGCGATATCGTCAGCGGCAGAAATCCCATTCATCGAATCGTGCGGCGCCTCAATTGTCAGTGCCTAGCCTTGTAGGAATGCATGAGAAGCCCTGAAAGCTGAAGCGCTGAAAAAATCCTCACTTTGACTCGATACTGCACTTGAGGCTGCTCGTTGCGTCAATGTCATTGGCGGGATGAGCTTGGCGCTGCACGAATCCGATGTCGGTGTGGTCGACTGGCATTCCAGGCTCGTCTAGGTTCCATTCCAAACCAGCTTTCATCCTCAGAGCGATAGCCAACGATATCTTCCCTGCACTCAATGTTACAGACAGATCATTAGGTGGGCACTGAGTAGTCTACTATTCAGTGGAAGTTCTAACTCGTTGCAAGCATGGAGGAGCATCCACGACGACAACTCAAGTGCGTCTCTGTCGTCTAGTATCTCATTATGTTCCGGACACCCCAACCAAGGCCCCACTCAATGACAACACACCCGGGCCTCACCTCTGCCTCACATCCATCAGTATGTGGTCAGCTCCTGATGACATCGATAATTGGGCTGTGGGTCCCCGCGGAGCAGGCTGGCTATTCGTCAGAAACGCAACCCGAGAGGTACATCGTTCATGCCATTCAGGTCAATCGCATAAATTCAGCACACCATCTTCATAATTCAACCAAGTCAACTCGCTAAGTCTTATCGCCCGCGGCCACCAACTCGTTCAAGAAGGCTGCAACTACATGTTCGACAACGCCATAGTTACCCTATGGTCCGCACCCAGTTACTGGTGCCGATATAGCAGCTTGGCATCGGTGTTAGCTCTGGGAGAAAGTGGGGAGCATGAATTCAAGGTATTCGGTTTGGTTCCCGAGAATGAGGGGGACATGAGGACGGGCAAGCGGAATGTGAGTATTTTCTGTTACACTTTGGCTGGGGCACTGAAGTGCTGACACTTTTCTACGACAGCCCGGAATGCAATATTTTGTATAGTTATGCTGTGCCATGTTTATACTAGAACATGGCCGACGCCTTGTTTACTACGCTGGAGCGCGGTCACGACCGGTGGGTTTTGCCGTGCGGAGTCAATTGACAAGCAGATGCGCGGATGTCGAAAAAAGCGTCTCATTTCCGGGCTGGAGTGACCTTGTAAACAAGGTGATACTAGTCTCGTTGCTCTCGACAGGACTGAAGAGTTGTGAATGGAAGCCCTAGTACACTCAGACGTGCTATCTCCATCACCCTATCATCATATCCTCGAGCATGAACAAGATTGGGCAAGTAACGACAAGTGCGCGAAGAACAATGAAACCACAGATGGTGGACGTTGTGCTTCCGCCATACCCTTAAACTCCACTGCCTTCGAGCTCGAATAAAATGCTCTCCCGACGATGGCCTCCCGGACAATGTTTGTGAGTAGTGGCCTGCGCCATAGTTATAGATATTATTTCCCTACCCAGTGCCACCAGCTACAGAGCGTCCACAAAACGCACTTCTACTCCCACCAATTCGACGAATTCGCCTAACCAATCTCGTTGACCCGAAAAGATTGCGTATGCGGAGGATGGATTCTGGAAATGGACTGCCACCCTATCAATGGACTAAACGATGAGAACAAGAATAGAAACACTCACGACGGCGCACGAGGAGCAAGTCGTTGGCGATTACAGGTAGTCATCCGTATCGTGGAGGTTGTCGTCTAGAGGATCCACTTAATTGTGTGCGGGCGAGTCATCGATCACGGTCACGCTGCCTTGCAGGGGGCAGACACTGCGAAATCCAATAACGGCCAGCAACTGGGCTAGCCTGTTGGTGTCTTGCTGGCGACAATAAGCCCAAAGGGTACAGTCCGCACCAATGATGAAAGGTTAGAGAATTGAAGCAGAGTATTGGTATATGGCGTATCATACATATGAGATGTCGTCCAGGGAGAGATTACCATCAACTCCCGCACCTCATATAGGCCCAGCGTTCGGAAACGGAGAATCGCGTCCACGCAACCGCTGAAAACCTTACGGTCGACTTCAGTATCCCGAGACGCGTCGAAATTCTGTACCGCGACAGTGGATTGCAAACGCGTACGACCAGGTGAGCATATCCATGTGACTATCCAATTCACGGGGGTACCTGTGCAGGATGGCATCGTCTAAGTCAAGGATTGCTCCTCTCGTCCCTCCATCAATAATTTCTTCGGAAGGGCCAGCACGTTTGCCAGGAATACATGAGGTTCGTTGGCTTCCGTTGACACGACGAGAAGAGTCTGGGCTCGGCGTCGTCCATCAATCGTGACGCAGAGGGGGACGGGGAAGTAGGTGCGCAACACGGCTGATGATGGTTGAGGAGGAAAATTGGCGGGCGGAGCGGACAACTGGCGTGCTGGATTTAAAAGGGTAGTTGGGAGCCTGACATCTGATTGCGGGGGGTACTTTCCACGTCAGTCACCTTTTGGCTGCTGACTAGCCAAAGGGACGGGACTTGGTACTACGTCATCATTCAAGTTTCAATGCATATCCGTACTACTGGTTGTGATGCGTAGAGTCTACAAGACGTCGGTAGGGTCCTCCCTCTAACACGACTCGCGAACTGGGAGGATGACGTTCGATTCCGAAGGCTCTTAGATGTATGTACAACAAACAACCATTGGTAGTGATCCCCATTGGCACCCTTGTCCTCGAAGACTAGTTGCAACCTGCTCTCGGATCGAAGGTAGGGAAGGATTCGTGACTAAATAAAACGGGATTCTAGCCTTCTTCAATACGTACCCGTCCAACCATCGAATCCCCATCACCCTGACATTCCGGTGGCCCGTGACACCCATAAAGAAACACGAATGCGGTCAGGTAGATAACAGAACAAAGCACATCCAAAGAGTTCTGGGCAATGAGTTGTTGGGATTGTTGTAGGATACGTATTAGATGAAAATATCGTGTCAGTACGTTGGCTGATGGATAAATTTGGTTGGGCTGGATTAGGACCATGCGTACTAATAAATAACAGATATGAGGACGTCCGGAGGGGTACGATGAGGACGATGAGCAAAGGCTACGAAAACAGCACGGAAATACGGACACAAAAAATGACCGCTGAAGGAAGAAAGGCAGACCAGCTTTAACGGCCAGCAATCCCCCATATACACGTCAAAGGATTTCTAACACCCCCACCCGAATGTTCGTGGGTGTGATGTTGGTTCCAAGTCCTGAAATGACAATCTCTTCCTCTGTGGCAACCCTCCTGTACTCTCCCTTTGGCTGCTGTAGGAGCAGCAACGCGCTGAACGGCTGTCCGAGGCGAGCAATCACTTGCAGTGCTCGGGTATAGCCGTGAACTTCAGGGGGGATAGCGTGTAACGGCGAAGACGGCCCATCTCCATCCGACTCAATGTCGTGATCCGAATCGCAGTTGGTGTCAGCATCAGACTCCGCGTCATCTCCCCAGGCAACCACACTGTCGGGACCTCGGATATGATCAATCCACGGATGTACGAAGACAAATTTCTGTGCCTCGTGCAGTGGAAGACCGTCGGCAGTCGAGAACTCCACTTTTCCAAGCCCTGATACCCTGGCACGATACAGCTTCTCACTGCCACTGCATAGCTCCAGTTTTCTGACAGAGAAGATGACGCATGGAAAGTGTAGACGTCGGGTACTAAAACGCGCAGGCGGAAGAAGCTTGATTTGATTGTAAATGCTTAGGGCAACTTCCTGGGGTAACTTGCCACGTAATTTTGTGATGCGTGTTTCCATTTCTTCTCCTTCGAGTGACGGAGGGTTGTAAGGAATTTGGCTGTAGACGGAAATGGAAGCCGGGAGACAACTGTTGTACGACGACGACGTCCCTGACCACGCAAGTATGGTGACTTCGCCGGTGTGAGCCACGATCTCCTCCAGGAGATGTCCGAGAGCGTCGGATTGTTCGCCATAATGGGGCCTGATATCAGACTTGAATATGCCGATCAGAGAGTATGCGATGTCCTCCTCCTTTGTCGCATTGCGTGTAGAAGCGAGACGAAGCTTTTCGCGAACCCCAAGATCGTCTGGAGAGGAGACGATAGTTCCAGGCAGAACCTTAATAGCGTCTGCTAGTTCTTGCATGATCCCCGGGGATTGCTTGTGGTTCATGCCAATATCACCGAGGTATGGTTTCCACTCGGAGTCATAGAAAGAGATGACGTTCGGTGAGAGAAGCTCTTGTAAAGTCCAAGCTCGGGTCATCCATTTACTACACCTAAGGTCCTCAGGCTTGGATGGATGCGCTACGTCGGCAAGGAACACAAGTGTGGCTGCCGAATTCGCATACCATCTGTACATTGAAGTAAGGGATTCGTTAAGGATGGAGCTGTTGAGCTTGTCGATGCAACACGTATCGGACCACGCCCAACGGTAACCAAACCTGCGCGTTTCCTGGCAGAAATTACGCAACTTGTTATTCAGGGGCGTGTCGGGAAGGTCCCACACAGAGTTGACTAAATTGACATCCTGGAACGACGGCTCCTTCCCCTGCCATGCGTGCGAGAACATGACGTATCCAAAAAACCTCTCAACCACAGGTCGGATCAACGTCTTGTCCACTTTTTTCGTCATGGATGAAACAAGTTCTTTGAACCTCGGATCGGCCTTGAAAATACTCATCCGCTCAGTCTCGTCGCAAAGGTAACCAGTAGCAACATCAATGACAACAAGAGGACAATAGATCTCGCTGACGACGGAACCGATTGCCGCAATCGTGTCGGATGGCGAAATGTAGGTCTTACGGAGTTCTGTGAAATCATTATTTGTGGGTGTCACCTTCACATAGGAGGTACATACGGATGATTGCGGGGTCATGGGACTGTTCCATTCTGTGTAGCATGGACTTGAAAGCTTCAATCCCCTCGGCATACTGCTTCATGCCACGAAGCGCTACATGCTTGGCCTCGTAGCCCCAAGGGCTGGAGGGATCCGCATTCACCGCCTATAGGGCAATTGTAGGAGAACCCACTCATACAAGCAAGATACCATGCATACCTCGTTCGCATCCTGTAGTGCATCCTCCCACAACTCTTTCGCAGCTCGAGCTCTGTTTCGTTTGATAAGCAAACTCGCAGGACTTTGAGGGCAGAGGGACAATGCAGCAGAGTACTGTGTTATTGCTTCATCATGTTCTGAAGATCCGTATGCATTGTCGCCAACATGCTCAAGCGTCGCAACACATTTTTTGGAGGTCTGATGGTAGACATGAATGTGCACATCAACTGGCAGTTACAAGACATACCTGCGATCCAATCCGCAATTGCATTTCCCTCCTTGTCTGATGTCCGGATGATATTTAGGAGGATCTCCGTGGCTTCCGGTGTACATCCTTCAGCATAGAGGGTCTCACAAAGACGTTGCTGGGCAATGATATCCAGTCCGTTGAAACTCCATCCAAACATCTTCATGAAAGGTTGTATTAATAGACAGTGTGCTAGCAGCAGCAGAAGACCTGCGAGCGAGATCGTCACCAGCGGAGGACATCGTTTGTCCTTGGGTTCCAGGCTCTTCGCATGTTCGATCAATGATATCGAACGTCCGTAACTCCGTTTCTTCATGCACATAACTCCAAGCACCTGCAGGATGAATCAGCAGCGATACTTATATGCCTGCATCACGCAACGCACGTACTTGAGTGTAGAGGTATGTGGCGTCGTCGTCGCTATCATTGTTTGCTGCTGTAACAAGGTCCTCTGTGCGCATTATCCCATCTTCTTGATTTCCAGATTCGAACACAAGGATCGACTGAGTGGAATGTAGATTAATTGTGAGAATGAACTAGATCATTTGGCGCACCTTTAATAGTAAGAGAAGTCTGATGTCGCGCAGCTCACAATCATGAAATGCAAAGTCGAATGTGCGTAGTGCACCCTCTCGATTGCCCTGGCCAAGTAGAGAAATCGCCATCGCGATATGGCCAATAGGTCCGCGCTGAACCCGGAGGGACTTGAGGTGTATGTGAGCAGCCATGCACATGAAACGGTGAGGGAGTGAACTCACCTCTTTGGCATCCTCTATCGCAGGTGTCAAATGTTTCAGTCGTGTTCGCATAAGTGCGCGGTTCGCCAGCATGCAGTGGCTAGGGCTAGAAGCGCTTGCAATGTGCTCTGAGAGTAGCATTTCGGTTTGCGTCGGGTCATCCTGCATCCATGACTGGAAAATCTTGGTACCCATTTCTACGAGCGGAAGCTGAGAAGCACGGAGTTGACGACAGATTAAAGCATTACACAGGGCACAAGAATAGCATGAAGATTGTTAGCGAAGCGAGCTTCATGAGTGGATGAATGCTTACGCTAAGGTTGAAATACTCAAGTGAAAGGTCATCTCTGAGACCGTGAATCGTGATACCGTTGACATTTCCACATGCGAGATACCGCCCGCTTGGTGAGAGAGCGACGCATCTGACCTCTGCAGAGTGTGTGATAATACTACCAATCTGTTTGTGAGACACGCAATCCCATAGCGAAACCGATGGAACTGCGGCCCATGGAACGCATGCGATGTATGCGATGAATCTGCCATTGGATGCTATGGATGGTTGGGATTGGTTTTCATGGATGGACCATTCTGAAGAGAGTGACTTGGAAAGGTCGTAACAGATGATTTTGCCTTTGTTCGCGACGAACAGCTGCTGGCCATCAAGCGACCATGCTAACGCATTGTCCAAATGATAGCTGACGCAACTGCTTTGACCTGAATCGAACAAGATATTGCCATCGTCGACGCTATAGACATGGAAACCATTTGTCGTTGAGACGGTAGCAAATCGAGTGCCGTCCGGAGAGAATTTGACACCGACAACGCAATTGTGTGGAAGGGGAGGAAGGAGTCGTTTGCCAGAAGGGATGCTGAATATCTGGACGCTGTAGAAGTCCGCGGTGGCAAGTTTAGTACCGTCGCTCGAGATATCAACCTCATTTACATATTCCTTGTGTTCTCTGAACTCGCGCACCTTCGCATGGGTTGCTGCATTCAAATGGATCGCCTTCCCTCCTTGGCCTCCAGATACGATCCACCGGCCATCCTGGGAGACGGCAACAGAATAGAGCGACCTTTTCGTTTCCACGGTTGGATCCTGTTGCTGCCCGTGTTCAATCTTCCATTGACGAATATCACCACCGTAATGTCCTCCTACGACCTGATTCTCGCCCGCAAAGGCGACTGCACATACTCCCCTCTGAGATGCAATTTCGATCCGTTTCGTATCTTAACCGCCGCAGCGAACTGTCAGTACAACCACCTCAGTCCCTTTGACTGCTGGTACGCACCCATCGTCACCACTGACAAGCCCGCTAGCACAGTTTGTCCTGTAGTTTAGAGGGGAGAAGAACGGTGTATCATACTATAACTTGCTCACGACGCCCAATATATGGCCTACACGTTCCTCAAGCATACTGATGTGGATCAGTCTCAGTAATGGTCCCTGAGCTTCACAAGATCCAGTTTTCGTCTGCATGAGGTCACGCATAGTCCCGGCCAAGGGTTGGCGGAAACGTGTTGCAGGAACACCTGGTAACGTATTGGCATATTTACAACCATCCAATCCCAGAAAATTGACTACCACATGCACCGAATGCCCTCTGCCCCTCCCTCGGTCCCGCCAAATCTTTGATACCCTCAGCTCTTCACTTCCTCTCGCCAGGGTCCGAACTTGTCCACAAAGCTAAGGCCCCACTCAATGACAACACACCCGGGCCTCACCTCTGCCTCACATCCATCAGTAGCCTCGTCAACGTGTGCGCCACTCCAACGAGATGGAAGAGGTAAGATGTATTACGGCAGCGATATCGTCAGCGGCAAACATTCCATCCATCGAATTGTGCGGCACATCAATTTTCAAAGCGCAGCCTCGTAGGGATGCATGAGAAGCCCTGAACGCTGAAACACTGAAAAAATCCTCACTTTGACTCGATACTGCACTTGAGGCTGCTCGCAGCGTCGCTGTCATTGGCGGGATGAGCTGAGCGTTGCACGAATCCGGTATCGGCGTGGTCGACTGGCATTCCAGGCTCGTCTGGGTTCCAATCGAAACCAGCTTTCATCCTCAGAGCGATAGCCAGCGATATCTTCCCTGCACTCAATGTTACAGAGGGATCATTAGGTGAGCACTGGGTAGTCTAATGTTCAGTGGAAGTTCTAACTCGTTGCAAGTATGGAGGAACATCCACGACGACGACTCAAGTGCGTCTCTGTCGTCCAGTGTCTCATCATGCACTAGGCACCCCTTGCAGGCGTCGCATTGCTATCTGGTCCTGGTGGATCCCCCCTGCGCACGTACGACATGTCTACGGGCCCCTTCTCCCCGAGCATCGCCTCCACAAACCTGCTTACGCTCGGATGCACGAACTACAGCGGACGGCGATAGCAACAAGGTGGGCTTCGGTCCAGGGAAGCAGGACATTCTTTATGCTCACCGATAGCGACACAGTCAACCGCCTAGGCAGCCAACCTGGCGAGGTTGTGTAGATATGAACTTTCTAGATAACGAATTTTCCAATTTCCTTTTGCACAGCAACGCGTTAACACCAGGATATGTCCTTCGTGGTGTACTCCTTCCCAGTATGACCAGTTACGCCCGAGTCGTGCAAGGTAAGACACAATCACGGCACCGCATTCCGGCGTACCTTACCTCGCATTGTTCCAGCTGTCCGGGTACTATCCAGATTGGGATCTGGATGTAACAGGTTAGTATGGGACAGGCAACCTATTGGAAATCATGGGAGAGGGGTCACTCACCACTCGGTCCCCAGGTGACGATCGCCCATTGATGGAATAAGTGGCCTGTCTGGCGGTGTGGGGAACACGCATAGCGGTCAGTTTACCAGGGTATACATGTCGATTATTGGCGTTTAGCGTAGAGAAGAGGGGTTTCATGCTCGGTGTCGATATGGCATTGAAGCAGAGAACGGATGTTGAATATCTGTGCGTTGTAGGTATCTGCAGAGACAATTGTAGTACGTCGCTCGGGGCATTGATCCCCTTTACACAGTAGTAGTGTTCTGTGAACTCACGGACTGTGTCATGAGTAGCTGCGCTCCAGACGACCGCATTTTCCGCCGCGGCGGTCTCTGGTCTCCGTCCTGGGAAATGACAACAGAACTGGCACAGCCACCCGCTTGCATGGTTTGCCCCGTCGCTGCCCGTTTTCGATCTGACTTTCGTCCGTAGTAATGGTGACTGCCTATACCCCTCTCTGAGATACGATTTCGTTTCGTTTCATATCTCAGCCACCACGTAGAAATGTCAGCAAGGCTGCCCCAGCCTCTGACTGCTAGTTGGCAAGTCCGCTAACACACCTTATCCTGGAGTTCAGGGGGAAAGAACGATAGCTTCTAGTGGCACTTGATATATCATTTGGCAGTGCAGGTCTTATAACGACCGGGCCTAAGCTTTGGAACTGGTTATGGCAAAACAGTCCCCCCAAATAATTCTCAAGCATTGCGGTATTTTTGACTTCATCATGATTCTGATTGGAGGAAAAGAACTGTAACTAATTCCTACAGTATGGATTGATCAGAGCCATCAGCAGTGTTGATGGTTCCAACATGCACAGCACCACACGATCCAATCGAGAAGCCGGCGGAACCAGCAGTGGTTCTTGCTATGAAAAACAGGTTCGGAAATAAAAATATATGGTGTTCTGAGCCTCCCACCCCATTTCCCTTCTCTTGAAATGTCCTCTTCTGGACCAACAATCCTACAAACCGAAGGTAGCGCCCTTGGGAACAATTTAGGATGCCGCTGACGAATCGAAAGTTACTGGTATGGTCTTGCTCATCGCAGCGGCGATGGTCACTTCATTCCGTTTGTTCGTGCGGATGCGACAAAGGCGTCTATGGCTGGACGACGCATGGGCGGCGCTTGCTTTGGCATTCGATATGGTTTTTTTGGTGGTGCTCTGGTTGTATCTACATGATTACGGTGATGGCGTCGTCTTTTCTACTAGAACGAGTCTCGCTAACTCTGCGCATTATAGCTCAATTTCCCCAAGATACAATGGTGGCGTTGTATTATATGTGCATTCTTTTCATAAGCTGCATCCCCAGCATGCTCAAACATACTTTATAGAAACTTACAGTTCTTCTTGGCAATCCTTTGGTGCGACACCAACCTCGTCTTTCTGGTCACGAGCCATCTCAACATGGTTTTAGGTCGTCCAGGATCTCAATTTTATTCACCGTCGTGCGAATGACTTTACCTGGATCGTTAAGGAGATTGCTAGTATGCACCTCCATCGCATTCTTGGTGACCGCGATTGTCCTTGGCGCGCAAATCTTTTGGACCTGTGAAGCAGAACCTGGTTGGAAATCACAACCACGTCCTCAGTGCGATCTAGGTAGGAATGTTGCCATTGCGCAGATAATAAGTGAGTCTACTCTATGCAACATGAATGGGATGGACCAGCTGACTTTCCTCTATCCAGCCGATGTGTTCGGTGATGCGATCCTAATACTAGCACCTTTCCATCTGATTTACAAAGTCAGACTCACTAAGGCCCAAAAGCTTCGACTTCTGTCTATCTTTTCGGCCTCTGGTATTACCACTATTGTCAGCCTAACCCACGCATATTACCTGCTTTCCGATGGCGGGCTGAAAGAAGTCGTGGCTGCCGTAGTTCAGGTATGGATCAGAGCCACTCCAGTACATTGCAGATTTAGTCTTTCGTTTCGCCAGTTGTCAGTTAGCTTGACTGTGGCGAACTTGAGCGTAGTTGTCGCTTTCTTCTTCCGTATCAGCACTGAAGATACTCCAACCCCTGCTCCGCTTGAACTCAAGTCCATAATCACCTTTGGCTCCCGGCCAATTCGGAAAAGACCACGGCTCGATCCTCTCTCAACACCAACGATGATGGTTGGGATTGAGCCCACAACAATAAAACTAGAAGATTTCAGCACGTCTCCTGTGCGAGCTACCGGAAGAGACGATAATGATGCCGAAGCTGTATCCATTCAAACGCTTTACAAGCCAGCTCCGTTATGTGACGCTTGATGTATTTGATATACCGCCATCTGTATTTTCGTCATGGTACTTGTCATTCTCTTTTCCATTACTGCTTGAACGATATTCCTTGTCCTAAGTGAAAAACCCGGATGATTTCAATACGTCTCCCAAGCAAGGGGCTGGGAGAGACGGCAGCGATGCCAAAACTGTATCTCTTGAAACGCTTGCTAACCCACGTTCTTTCTATAACGCTTGATGAGTTTGATATACTGCCATCTGACATAGTACTCGTCATTCTTTCTAGTATGTTTGAACATTATTCCCACCCCAAGTAATCACGTCCTTCAGCTTAGGTGACTTCAGCATCGTTTCCCTCACCAGACTCCTCTAGTTGCAGGATATCAACGTTCAGTTCGTCCTGCACTGGTACGGCTTTCTATTGCTCCTTACACTCGAGGGATAGTTGTAAGCCATTGATTCTTGTGCCGTCACCTTTCATTCCGAAGGTCTATCAGGAGTTAGGCAGGGTGGACGATAGCCAAAATCAGTGGTCATCACGATACAAGTAGATATGGCTGGAAGTGCTGATAGCGGGCAATCTCGAATAGGATGTAGCGGAGGCGGAAATCTGGCGTATGTTTATGTCAGAGGAGCGGAGCAGGTATCTCGAAGTAGATCTTTATCATCGTGATAAAGGAGCGAGGGAGCGGCTGAGAGGTACGACTACGTGGAGGAAGAAGACTTTAGTGAGGGACATCAGCACGTAGTGGAGAGGGAATATCAGGAGGTACGGTTTCCCTTACCGCCATTTATAGTACAACCTGCTAATGGGAAATGACTGGAACCGGTACACGCCACATGGTACCACTGAGGCGAGCGGCTCAAATTGGTTCCGTTATGCTCGTCAACCGCTAATAGCATCACCTCAGCACTGATCCGGATCGACCACCACGACATCAGATGTAAAACGGGGAAGCATATACTTATCTTATGCACACCGCGATTTGGGACTCGTCGAGCGTTTCATAAGGTCTTCTGAGCCGGACCTTCCAGAATGCTCCGACTTCTCAGCGGACCATTCTCGAGCGAAGCTGAATCTATCAAGTTCAAATGCTATGGAACGTGGGCCCCATCAAATTAGCTGCTACAATTGGACTATTCCCGTGCCACGACTGTGGTTCTGCAACTATCGTCGACCACGTTCGCCATTTCACCGTAACTTTTGCTAATAGACTCTCCTTGCGACCTTATGATGCAACTACTTCCAATAACTTTACCAATCCTGAGTGTAAGGAAGCCCCATGAACCAAAATCCAATAAGTCCACCATGGGAAGTGGGCCGCATGGCGACTCGCTGGCCATCTGGTGCAACTAGCCACGTGAATGCAAGCCTGAACAAACTCGAATGGGTGACCGACCAGGCATTCCAGCTATGGAGTTGAACTTATCAGTGTCCTCAACCCTACTTGCTATTCAGAAATGGGTCACTGTTTGGAACCTCTACGCTGCGTGCTCCGGAGGACATTGGACACGTGGCGGAAAGATACATGCCTTATCGGGTTCTCTGCGCTTGGAGGTTGCTACCTCACGTATGCACTCCTCCCCAAGTAGAAGCTTTGAGAGTTTGTCGTCTTGACCACATTTGACAGGATGATCCATCTGATGCCCTGTCTATATCGTCGATGGGTCGGTCTGTTTTCTTGACATTGCACTTGTGTATCAACGCTATCAACACTCAGGCTCACAGTCAGGTGTGAGACTCGCCAGATGAAATAGCTTATATGTATTGTTACCGCCAGAAGCCTTGCCTCTGTAAGGGCATTTTTCTAACATATCCATATCATTCCATCGCAGCGCATACTCATGGCTTCCTGACACAGCACATGTAGCCGTGCATGGCGGAGGGACCCTAAAGGCCATCTTGGGCTGTTCTCGCATATACTTGGGGAGCCTATTATAATCACGGCGACGTGAACTAAACCGAAGTTCCGACCGAACCATTTCTGGGACGACGACCCGGCTAACTCCACACCCACGGCCTGTATCTGCGAGATACGGTCGTTAGATTGTCGTGTGCAATGATGGCATGCCCCTCGCCAATCAGTGCACGTCCTCCCATGCCGATACGTTCGTCCGTTATCTCTTGTCACATGCTCAGAATAAACTGGTGTGCACTCATGTGCTATCCCTCTGGGCCTCTGATATGTAATTCCCGACCCCAGCGAGCCCAACACAAGCTAACCATGTGCTCTTCTGTATGAGTTTTCACATAAAAGGACTCGTTATTGCAACCAGCCTTCTCCGTTGCGTTTGGATTATCCGGACACATTCCAGCAGCCATGTTCGTCATCGCACCATTGCTCACCGCTGTCCTCGCGCTGTCCATCGCGGCCAGTTCGGTTGAGATTCCCTCGCCGTCGATTACGCTACCCTTCGCGCGGAGCCTCAACACACAGGGTGGTACCGTCAGCCTCCTGCAGCATGATCAAGCTCGTGCAGCCGCTCTCCGTGATCGGGGAAATGCCATTGCGGCAGGAAGGCTTTACCGCCGCCAGGGCAGCATACCCGTCACTAACGAAGCATTCTCTTACATTGCAGCGGTCGGCGTTGGTAGTCCCGCCACTACTTGTATGTGCATAAAATTCCCCGTACTCTGTTGTCTGATCTGATGTCACGGGTAGACAAGCTAATCGTTGATACTGGTGCTCAAAATGGCTCCTCTATCTATTACAGGCACTGATGACTTTTCAGGATCTTCAAATACTTGGGTTGGATCCGGAACTCCCTACAAAGTAACGAGCACCAGCGTGAACACTGGCGAACTCGTGGTAAGTAGTTGCTGCTCACCGCAATGTAACCGTAACGATTGAGGGTTGCAGTCCGTCACCTATGGCTCTGGATCCTTCTCTGGTAAGCTCACTGCACTGCACCTATTTGACAATGTGATAGCGAGCGGTGTAGGGACGGAATATACCGACACTATTACTCTTGGGTCTCTTACCATAACCAAACAGTCGATAGGTGTTGCTTCGAAGTCAAGCGGTTTCCCGGGAGTAGATGGCATCCTTGGGTAGGAATACTTCTACGTTCTGATGTCTAGAGTGCTAATATTTCGTAGAATCGGTCCGGAAGATTTGACCGAGGGAACTTTGACTAATGAACCATCCACCGAAATACCTACCGTCACCCAGAACCTATACACGGAGGGCAAGATTCCCGCCGAAATTGTTAGCGTTTCCTTCGAGCCTATCACCAGCACGTCATCTATGAACGGAGAGTTGACGTTTGGTGGTGTTGACTCTAGCAAATACAGCGGTACCTTGAACTACACGTGAGTACGAAACTACCGTTGATACCAGTGGCGCTGACACTGTGTTCGTCATCAGTCCTCTCACTACCACGAGCCCTGCCTCGTATTACTGGGGTATTAACGAGAGCATTGCCTATGGTTCGACGACCATCTTGCCGACGACTGCTGGTATTGTTGACACCGGTACTACTTTGATCCTCATAGCCACGAGTAAGTTGAGTTCCTATTAGCTTTGAGGGGTCACAGGTTGATGTATGCGTAACAAGACGCCTTCAACGAGTACAAGTCCTTGACTGGTGCCGTGAGCGATCCCGCCACCGGCTTGTTGCGAATCACCACTTCGCAATACAACGCGCTTCAGAACCTCTACTTCAACATTAACGGTGTAAGTTTCATTACACGCCCTGTACACTGATCCCCTCCCTCCTTATTAATGCTTGCTACGCAGGTCACCTACACTTTGACTCCCAATGGCCAGATCTGGCCCCGTTCCCTCAACGCATACGTCGGCGGTAGCTCGTCTTATGTGTACCTCATCGTCAACGACATTGGATCAAAGTCTGGCTCTGGTCTAGATTTTATTAACGGCCAGACGTTCCTCGAGCGGTTCTACAGTGTCTTCGACACCACCAACTCTCGCGTCGGCTTCGCCACGACACCCTATACTGATGCTACCACAAACTGAACATTTAATGACTCAGATGATATAGTTTTCTGTGGGCTTCTGTAAATATGTCGATGTACAATGGTGAGGTGACTGGTGCTTTATAAATATTTGGGTTCGTCTGTAACCTTTCCGTAGTGTAGCTTGTCGCCGATATATTGGCTGCAGATGTTGCAGACCAAGATGGTTTACTCGGAAACACAGATAACTAAGCATGACACCTACAGCCTGTTCTATTTGGTCGCCTGTGGAAGCAGTGGCGTGGATCCCTACATAACGGCGACCGAGATCAAGCTCACCCATCCGAGCTCGACCGATAAATGTTGTCGTTTTGAATACACTTTCGTTCGCAGATGATCATTGCGCGCTTCTACAATGGCCGTTCTCGTGGATTCCAGCAGCCGCCAGCACCCCTGTTGTTGGCCAAATCGGTTCCAAGAACAGCTTCATACCGGTTTTTGAGGGGCGCTTTCTCCTGCGAAGGGCATATTGTCAGGCTTCGTCATGTGACGATGTCCATTCTCACTGCTGTGAGGACTACTATCGCAAATGATTTGTCAGTGGTCACCATATGAAGTAGAGAACGGGTGTTTTAGGGGACCTGCTCATCGACATACAACTTTGAGTCACATCGGTTAGGTTACATACCACCAGCTGGCAGGCCTACTTTAAGTGCTGAAAAATGGGCCTCACCTGGTTACACTTTAGAAGTGATACTGATGCAAAAAGCGACGGGTCTGCTGTGGTCCTGGTCAAACGACGAACTGTACCTCACCAACCTCGTCACCTTGAACCTAGAGCATAAGTCAATTCCCACTTTTCTCTGCTATTTAGGATCATCTACCTTAGTTCCATCAGTATCTTTGAGCGGTGTGTACTGGGTAACTTACATATATCGCCTTTCTCAGAAGTGACGCGGCACATAAAATTAGGGGGATGCGCCTCTTCCATGAAGAGCAACGCCTCTTGTCTGTCTTTCTCTTTCATACGATGGCAACGAGTACGACAGTAGACTTTTCCAGGATGTACATTGGAATCATGTACATCATGGCGAAGCCAACCGTCAGTGCCTGGGACTCCTTGCACACAACACCACTGTCATGTACAAATTCAGTACAACCCCTATTCACGAGCAGTGTTGACGAATCCAAATTATATAATGCGGCTTCCTACCTGACCATTCGAATACTAATTGCTAGGCCACGGCCGTGTTGGCCATGTACATCGAACACGCATATAAACGGGAATGTGCTCTCTGAAAACTGCTTAGCCCCGGACATTTCTGGTTCTCCGGTTCGGAGTGGTGCTTACCAAGCGAGTGCACATCCAAGGTACACGCCGCAATTTATGTAGTGATATGTGGTTGACGTTAGTTTCGTTGTTATGCAAGTCCCGGAAGCTAAGGAAGTTTAAAGAAAAGCTGCTCACGAAGTGGGATAAAATTATGCCTCAAGCAAGGCTCGAACTTGCGACCTCAGGATTGCCTGGAAACTCCAGTCATACTCAACATATGAGACCTGCGCTCTAGCCAACTGAGCCATTGAGGCGATGTCGTAATAGCGACCAAGGACCTACAGAAGTCAGAGAACGAAGCCCTTGAAAGGCACCATAAATACAAGTACATGCGAGTTCCAAGAACAAGGTTCAGTCGCCAGTAAGCTACTAGCGGCTACCGGACAGGAAGGTTCGATGGTCCACGCTGACAGTTGCCGATCGCTCACCATTCATCCCTCGTATCGCCTCACGCGCAGCGGTAATCTGGCACCCTGTTCACCAGCCACCTTCGGGCGCACCGACAAAGCCCTTCCCATCTCAATCTTCGTATTTGGGCCATCCCTCATTTCCAATACGTAGTTCTTCATCAACACTGATAAAACCACCTGTCATCGGACGATTATAAAGCCCCATTTCATCGTTACATGAACACAAAACAGCGAACTGTCATACCTTGAACATCGTCAAAGCGATCCCTTTACCGATGCACATCCGTGGTCCATCTCCGAAAGAAAGCAAGTGCCGATGTCCTTGAATTTCCTGCGCTTTCTTCGTGATGCCGTCTTTGTCGATCCATCTTTCGGGCCTGAATTCCTTCGCGTCTATACCCCATATGGCAGCGGAACGGTTGACGGAAGGCGTCGATATAGCGACGAGAGTGCCAGCTGCAACGCGTATACTGTCAAGGACCTCGCCCGCTTTGGTGTGTACCGGTTCTGAAAGAGGGATCACGTCGTCCTTCTCTGCCTATGCAGGTGAGTGAGACCAAATACCAATGAACAACTGAGGTGGCACGTACAATGCGTTCGAAATCCGGTATAGATGGATGGAGCCGCAAAGTTTCGTGTGCTACAGCATCCAAGTAGGGAAGACCTTTGTTGAGTTGTTCGTAAGTTGGATCGGCACGACAAGCTAATAGTTCTTCTCGCAACGTCGTTTGAACATCTGGATTCCGAGCAAGTTCCACCAATGCCCAGACCAGGTTGACTATACAGGGAAACGATTAGGATTACGGCCCTAACCGTGCAGTAACATTTAAACGCACTTGCGCTGCTTTCGTAGGCAGCAATGAGTAATGCTTTCATCTTGAGCAGAAAGAATTTTCATTCCGAGCACTGAAGTTCAGCGGATACTAAATTACCTGAGCCTAGAGCCTCTTCCCGAGTTGCGTAGAAAGCAGAGTCTGTTCCCTCAGCCTGGACTGCGAACCCGCCTATGTTAGTCTAGGAGTTCCGACAAAACTGACTGCATACCCAAGACTTCAATTATCGACTTTTCCCTCCCAGCCAACGCACCCGCCTCCTTCTCTTTCTTCGTTTTATCCAGCATAGCATTGCAAACGTCTACCATCGCGTAGTGGAGTTCTCTCACCAATCTCATCCTAGGTGAGGGAATATATACCAGCGCAGGAAAGACCTGCAAAAGGAGAAACACCCCAGAGCTCATATCATTACGCTTGGATGAGTCTTGAAACGCTTCGAAAACTTGTGTCACTGGAGCCTTTTTCCCGTCGAGAGCGCCAAAGTCATGAGAAAAACCTGCCAAACCGACAGAATCAAGCCTAACAGACGTTGTACAGACCACGATTAAGCGATCGCATTCTTCACTAAGGAAGCTGCTTAACGTACGAAAGATGATTCATCCTGCGCGTTCTTATCCGTCAGTTTTTCTCATTGTGGGCATCAACATGCTTGACATACCACTGGGCAACTTCTATAATAGCACTATCCTCATCGTTCGCGTCAATGATTTCATCCCATCCGGCTTTCACCTAATGCGATCATAAATGAAGGGGCAAGGTTTAAAAAAATCTGTAGACCTTATAAACACAATTGTAAAAGACGGGCGTCAACTTCCCGATGGATGCATAAGTGAAGGCCGGAGACATGGACCTGCGCTGCCTAATTTATAGTTAGTAAGAGAAAATGATCAATATTACGTTCCAGGGATGCGACTCTGGTCACACACCTTCGATGGTTTTCGCCCATAGCCCAGAGTATCCCTTTCCCGACCTAGATACCATACCATCACCAAACGGTCAAAAATGCCTGAAGACCACCTACGCTACGTTCAAGAGTGACTTTATCCAACGCCGTGTGGCCATAAGTCGACGTATCCCCCGCAAAAAAGTGCGCAATGGCTTTAGGATCGCATAGAATTATCTTCTTCTTCCCTAGCGCGAGAGGGACCTCATATGCGACGCCATACTCTTGGGCCCATGCTTCGTATACCTCTCCTGAATCAGGTGAGTCAAGGACATCCTTCCCAGCCCCGAAGATGAAACTCGACACGGGTGGTCCTCTGAGTTGGGTGGTCTTGAACCTCCTCCTAGTTTCACCGACAGCAACGTGAAAGGCTAGAACGCCGGCAACGGCAACAGCTATATCGAGTACCTTGAGCGAGCGAACGATGGTCGTGAGACGGAATACGATAGATGTCGTGTCCATGATCACGCACGAACAAATGCACGAACAAAATCGGCAGGATTGTAGGTAAGGTTATAACCTCGACAGCAACGCAATACGGATGTCTCTGCATGGGAGAGTCCTCGGAGGTTGCTAGGCTATCATTGGGCCATGATTACTTAGATGGTACTTCCTATAACAAAGTGTCCAGCAGGTGATACGTGCCATTTTAGGTATGGACATATGTGGCACCACATCCCTATGCCCACCGAAACTGGAGACATCGAAGTGCACCCTGTGGGTGGCCGATACGGGATAATCTAAACAATTGTCCCATGTATTAGTCTGTAACCAAACATGTTTTTGAGTTTAGAGACCAGGGGTGAAACTTACCGAGTCCTTACGATGAACCCATGTCCTTCCATATCATGGATCATAATATCTCATGGGAGAGTGGGTGGTCTCGTGGACCAATTAGACATCGCCAGCAAACATAACACTCCCCATCGCATCGCCAAGGGAAATTCAATTCTCCACGGGGGATTCTAGAGAATCTGCTACGATTAGTGTCCTTGTGCAAAGAGTCATCTGCCGAACGACGTGGCATCACATTGAGACACCCCAGCTCAGCCCGTCTGCGATAAAACGCGCATAGCTCATATGCACCGTCGACCGAGTAGGGCTGGTACGGTAGCTCCGCGGCAGGAATACTCCAGTCAAATTGAACATCGAGAATGCGAGGACTGGAAGTACACACTGTGGGTGTAACATTTTGCAAGTTGATGCGTCGGTACAAACACAAGTAAATTCTAGTAAATTCCTCTTTGGCCTGACGCAGCGGGACTTGCACGCCAGGAAATGCAACATCGAGACATGGTAGAGACTACAGTTAGTTCATCCCAGCGTTTCAACGATTCCGACACTTCAGGTAAGGTTAGTCCACTCGATTGCTAACTTGAGGATCTGTCAGGGGGGCTGGTTGTTCCTCTGGTGACGTTCCAGTCCGTACGTGACGCCAGCCTTTCCACGAGTAAGTCCATCAATCAACCTTCGGGAAAATACAGAGCCGAGATAATATCTATCCCCTTTCATCGACAGGCCCGTGTCTAAACGCTCACTCTGGCAAGAGTGACATGCAATTGAGAAGTTCCGCCGGCCTCGCCTATCAGCGGAGTGTCTACGGAGTGGAACTGTGTGTCCTTCGTCGTAATTGGTAGCCTTAATGGAACGGATGAACGAATGTAGTAATTTGGGAGAAAAGCACGCGGGCACAATCGGAGCAGACGTCACTAGGACCCTATCTTGCCACCTGCCCCTATTCCGTCTAACACTCGTACGGTCAGGGGTTCATTCAAGTTTGCCTCCCTTCCGACGTCTATCATGATCTCCAATGAGGAGTGGGCTGCACGCCGCCGTGATACTTATGCACGACTACTAGTGCACGCAGAACCAGAGCTAGGGTATCCCCTTTGGCTCACGACACCCACCGAAAAGTTAGCTCCCAAGTACCCCCACAAAGACATTCAAATCGGTGATGTAGGCATCGTCACGCCACATGGGAACTTCGATGTCTTCTTCAACATATGTCTCCCTGAAAACCACCCAATGCACCATCAATACGGTGTTCCAGAAGGATTTGAGCAGATAAAGCTTTCTGAGAAAGACGTCGAGATCATTCAAGATCCAGATTACCGCGGCTGTATAGTCACCGCACAGAGTTTCTCAGGGGCAAACCTTGAGATCAATGTGACTGGTGCGAATCCTAAGTGAGTTTAATCATCAAATCCGCAATCATATCTTGGGTTTTAACATACAACTACAGTATCGTGAAGGTCAAGGGTGGCATGGACACAGAGGTTGCAGTCCTAGCAGTTCCAATTACAGGCGCAGACAAGCATGACCTTTGCGATACCTCTGTTTTCCAAATGGCAGCGATGCGGATGGGTGAGACGTGGTATGAGTTTGCACTGAACAAATTAGGGTGGACGACCATGGGTCATGACTCGCTCTACCTTATCACGGGGTATCACAAGGTGGTTACCCGGGGGGTCGACGCTGTCCCCAGTGCAACCACAAGGCTGAACATTGACGTGCAGTACAAGTCGGATGGTACTGCCACTGTGAATCACGAATGGGGGTCCCGGCCTCTGGGGAGCACTGGCGATTGTCGACGTTTCGAGAATGGTGGTGTTATTGCGACCGGCCAGGGTTCTCGAGGCCAAGCCAACGCACAGAAAACTTACGCCATTTCCGTGCGGGGATTCAAAATTGCGATCAACGAGAAGACATTCCATTCTTTGCTCCCGTCCCCGTCACCTTCCAAAGGAACAGGTCCAATCCATTCCACCATTCCTTCATCACTCCAGTACAGGCCTCCCATTCGAAGGATTTACCATCCTCTGGATAAAATTAATAGTATACTGCTAAACCAGGTATGAAGTGGTCTGTTTCCTCACCATACGCTTCTGTGCTTACATCTTTTTCCAGACACGTCACTGTGAGATAGTGGTGACACACGACAATATGTGGAAAGACATAGTCCAAGAGGTATGTATGCCCAACTTACCACCAAAGTGATTGCTTTCTACTCTTCCACCCAGCTCCCATCGATTCGCAGTCGCTCGCGTCGTGTGATGGCAGCTATCAAGAAAAGAGGATACGCGGTCTCTGAGTTCCATGTCGGTACTTACAGTACGCATTTTGTATGCCACTTTACCACTCTGCCACTCACCTTGACCGCCCTAGACTGCGCATATTTTACAAAATGCGGAGAAAATGGCCCAACGCATTCCAGTGACCAGGGTTTCACTCATTTATTCAAAGTGAGCTGTGCAGTGGCGAATTTGGTTCGTCTGGTCATGAAAAAGGAGAAGAATAAGCCGAAGTATATTGATGATGAGGTAGGCCTTGCCACATTTTCAGATGCCCTTTGGCTGATTAAACGGGGAACAGGAGAAAACAGACAAAGCTAGCCTTGGAAGCATATGCAGCGAGTGAGAATTCTGGAAAGGAGGCGTCCACATTACCACGGTGGACAGGCAAAGTTGTTGTACGCTAGCCTGTAGAGAAGAAAGTGCCAATTGACGGCGAAAAATTTGTCTTAAGAGAGCCTCGAGTATTCACGAATCAATATTTAATGGAGTACACTTCGTAGTCCAAGAAACACCCTCGAGATCACAAAGACTTCCGAGGATATCAATTTCCGTTCTCTAGCGGAGTCAATACATGAACTCATCAATTGTTAGCGCACCTAGAAAGCCTCTGGGCAACCTCCCGTAACCTCGAATCTGCTCGTCAACCCGCCTTGGGTACATTCCACATGGATAGGTGGTTGTAATTTGGACACGTCTACTAAGATACAGTCGTCAGAGGCGGTATGTGATCAAGTCGGCACTTTTACAACTGGAACGTCCCGGGAAAACAAGGTGGTTAAAGGGAGTTATGTAGTGCCACATCGATCGGTCCTGCAGTCTAAGAGCCTTTTGAAAGTTGTCCTTGGGTACGCCCGACGTCGCCCCCTAAATAATGATAGCCTCTTACAGACACATAAATTCATGAAGAAAACTGGCGTAACCTTTTGACATTCATCATTCCACTTACCTGTGTCACAATGGATGTCGGCGAGAAGCGAATCCTTCCGTGCTCTGCTACCCTCATGCACATCTTGGCAAGCAACCGGCATAAGTGAGTGAGGGAATGCCTTGCCGCGATATGAAAGTTAGCCATTCTGCGTGTCACAATCTACGCTCGCAGGACTTAACGAAACTACTGGAACATGTAGCCAGCGGGCGGGCGATGCACGATGCTGAAGAGTGGGGGGTAGCGCCACCAACAAAGTATGTAGTTTTACTCACAACCCGGCGCATCTTTGTGGTGAAGCGGTGAGAGACTCGCATGCTTCCAGGCTCCGAGAGCGGTGGAGGTATAGAGCATGATCGCGACTGTGTTATTCACGGTCAGACTCACAACAATCGAAAACTGGAGCACGTGTCGTTCAGATCCACAGCACAGTACCGAAGGAGAGAATTGCAGCTTACAGGCATGGGAAAATAACAACCACTCGTTATGTCCTAGACGCAAATATACGCCTTGTGTCCTTCCACCTTCCGTTGGGACGAGCACATTTCGACGTCCCGACGGTAGATCTTGGTGTACCTTTTCAGAGACCGCCACGGGAGCCGCACCTTGTAAAATAAATCCTCGGGAACTTGCAGCAAATGTCCAGTTCGTTCAAACAAGCAAGTCATCGACGGCATGTTTGTTCTGTTCTTCAATGTCTACGTGTGCAGCGGTACCCATAATACATCTATTTCTAAGCGACGTTGCCCTGGGCTGCGACCATCGGTTCATAAAGCCCGTGTTGAGAACCCAGTCCGTATGTCAGTGTGACGGAGGACAGTATATCTGGGGCCACAGTGAGCTGGAGAACTGTCAGTATTCCAGGTGTTCGGATATAGCCAATACAGGGCGCAAAATCGGGATCTCGTACAGGATAGCAGAATGGGGATGCCGTAGAACATCTTCCCCTACACAGTAATAAAGCGAAACGGGACAAAGAACATCGACGCACCAATGAGATGATATCATCCAAGAGATGTGCCTGCCCCACCGTCATGCCCATTATTCCGCTTTGCGATGCATGCACAATATGCACGTGGAAGTGGTCTGCAGGCGACAGGCATCCAATCACACGATCGTCGAACGACCACGAAACAGAACCACTTACAGTAAGAAGGCTGGTAATGGACGTACAATCTCACACTTCCTCTCTCGAGTCCGTATTTTCGCTCGACGACGGAATGAGCAGCGTCCCTAATGGCTTTTAGGAGCGGCAAATGACCACCGTCACCTCCACGGAGGTCGCGCATAGATCGTATGGATGGATCTCTGACGAGTGCGAGCAAATATAGAGCTGTCAGTGGAGACGTAGTAGGATCCCATTTCATGTCAGGTAAAATCAGAAACTCGTCGGTCGAGTGGAGCAAGCTTTCGGATTCTGAAATGCCATCAAGGATATTTCGCACCCTATGGGTGTTTATGTTAGACGTATAACGAGGTTCTAGAAGATCTGGAGCTTGGGTGGGTATACACACCATTGCGTCCTCGAAGGTGGGAATGCCTCGATGTAGGGTTTAACCACTGTTTCGTACAAAGCTGGAGTTTCGTGTACCATCAAGACGTCCTGCTTCGAGTACTACTGAACGATCATACATAAACAATGACCTGATGCGCATGCAACTTGTGCTGACCTTCCGAATATGAACGTCGGTAGCGGGACAAATTACGTTGATCCTGAGATCAGGTAGGTCATCTCTGCGCTTCAACCATCCGTTTATCAGGGTATACTGTTTGAACGCTGATCAGTATCACCGCATTCTACATAGACGATCTTCGTTCTTGTATGACTGACTATATCAGTGCTTGCGAAGCACTTGGTATTTTCGAGAACCCCAGATGAAAATTCTTGAGGGAGAGTAAGCGGAAATGGCGTTCTCTCCAACCGGAGGATAGCTAGGAGGCGACCACTGGAGGTAGACCCAGGTAACGATACGTTACTTGAGGATACTGATGACGCTGGTAAAGTACCCAGGACGTTTAGGCAACGGAAGTACGGATCTACGCAAAAAAAAAAGTAACAGTTAAAAAAATGAGAAAACAAAGTGGATTTAGTCGCACTTTCGTCGAGGACCCGCTCGAATTCAAAATCCTGGAGTTGAATCGGCATCGTAAGTGGACAAGTCGTGGACTGCCTTTTTTGGGAGCTCGCCGTCTTTCAAGGTTCAAAGTGGTTTTGCCTCGCGTTTACCAGGTTGGCCCAGCGGCTCAACCCAACCCCCGCACTGTGCCATTCGACGATGCAGTTCACTGCAAGTCTCGCTGCTTCCTTCCCCCGTTCAGCGTCCAACGTTGGCTGTACCCGCATATGGCCTCCAAATGGTCCTCCACGGGTCCGTTGTCGTTCGAAATTGAGTTGTTTTATGTTGTTGGACCGTACATACAGCATGGTGATCGCGTGTTAGCGGCGTGCATCATTCTTTCCTCTTGACCATTACGATGACTTTCCATCCATGAACGCCATCCCCTCTGCTCTTCACCTTGATGGACCCGGACCTCAAGCATATCCCTTGTTCTACCACAATTAGTCCATCAATATGATCCACCTGAAGCCCTACGAGTTGAGTTCGACGTACGTCCTCCGCTTCCTTACATAGTCTTGTGCATCCCTATCGGGGGAGGATATCTCTAGTGCCTAGGAGCTATCTACGGTTCTGTAGATGAAGGACGAACTTCTCGAGGTGCTCAGTAAGTTGGCACCCTCAGACTGCTCACCCATACGATCTGACGTATCCAGGGCCTTGTCCGCGCGCCCGATGCTATAGCCTCATTGGATGTAGCCCAATGAAGATTCCAGCAGTTTTGACAACCACTCCCTAGGTCAATGACAACACCCTTGGCAACGTTGCGGGGAGATCGTGACGACAGTGATTGATGTAGTACCAGTGCTGAGGTTTTGGCAGTGGCTCTGTTTATATGGCTACTCGACATTCCGCTTGCCGACACCGATCTTCTTATTCATTGTAGGAACTTCGACGACTTTACGGCAAGCCTAGAACTTGTATCGCCATATCCACTCTATACCGAGACGGAATCCATCTCATGATATGGCACTCGGTCGTCGAATACATGTTCGTACATGAGGGCCTATGCTTCTTGTACTACAAGGTTTCCAGGCCAAAGTCGATAGCGCGATCTAACACACACAGCTTTCAGTGTTATGGTCAAATTAGGAGAGTTTACCTCTGCGATAAACGCCTACGCCCTGTCTTCGGTATCCTGTCCCGAATGCCATCTTCCTCCTCCCCACCATGGGTTTCACAAGCCCAATGACACCTCCGCACTGCCTGCATCTTGTTGAGATTCTCCGAAAGAACTTCGAACGTCCCTAATGGAGTCACGCGTTATGAGGTGATCAAAGCCTATCGCGAGAACGAGAAACGTAGATCGAGCCCGGATGGCGTAGTGATGATCTGGCGGACTTGACAACCCGTCGTTTCAGACGAATTACAGTACGCGGTTGAATGTGCGCTGTCGCACAATTACGAGGTACGACGTCTCTAATCATTCTGCACTACAGACTTCTAGCCTTTGTTCCATGTGGAAGCATATACTGCCTCATGCGTGACGGGTCCTTCCTCCGCCTCAGACATACCTATCTGTTAAGATCCACTATCGAGTGTGACTGGTCATCAGAGGCGGTACGTGCTTAAAAGCAGTGAACCCATAGACGGCCTTGCGTGTGCTAGATGGCTGTCTGCCTGGACACGTCTAAGAGGAGTGCACCCCGTCCCGCCTCTTTGACACTTGGTCAAGGACCTCAAGGGAAACTTTCCCATTCTCATCCTCAGCATGGCCACCCGTTTGGTTTTGACTTTCCCTTTTGGGAGTTTGGATCTTGTGCAGTGTGGATATCCCTCAGTCGACAGGCCCAACCAAGAACGTGAACAGTCTTTCGACGAGGGAAGCAGTTATTAACAGCCAACGAACACCAAAGGAGTACGCACCCCAGATACTTTGCGATGGTGTTCATATCACTAAGAATTTCACTCAACAACAGTTGGTCACGAGGGATTATGTAGACATGAAGACGACAAGCCCAGAGTAAGCACAACTCTTAGGTGGTATCACGGTGAACTGGTCTGTAGCTAGAAACAGAAGGGGGCGTCAATCAAGTGCGAGTTCGTCGGAGATACGAACTCGCTCACAGCAGATAGGTACGAGATACATAAAATGGATTTTCCCCCGGGCCGCAACATCACCTGACATGAGCAGACATTAACGTTGCCATCAAGTGTGCAGGCGAGTTGGAAGCCGGAATGAATTTCGGTTTGACACATTAACACCGCAGAAAAGAGATCTTGTCTGGTACTGTACCGGGTATTGTAGTACGGGCAAGTGACAGGACAGTAGACAGTCGAACGTACTTCGACAAGTGATCCGCCTTCGTCGAGGCAACTTGCCTGTATATACCGTATTCGATATCAACACATGTTTTCAAGTGCTTGATATTCGCCAGCGCTAGCCAAGCTCGCAACGAATTCAAAAACTGTCTGATGTGCATGCTGTAATGTGGCTGAATTTACTGATGGGCTTCTTTTGGTTCTTGTTCACCGACTTCTACACCAATATGACCCTGGACGTCACGCTGCGGACGAGATTATGTCGAGTATTAGAAGTGCGGATTACACAGAGTCTAGCAAACATCTGTAATGGCGAATGAACGGAGAACGCCAATGTCGTGCACACAGATCTATGATCAACATCATTCTGCAAAGCTACACGTTCGAACGTACATTTACGGCGAAGAAACTCGCACACAAAGCTGACTCCACCACCTGCATCGGTAGTGTCTACAGGCAGGTGACACGTGCCACCATCCATGCCAGTCACGCTGGTAGCACAGAGGTCTGAGATCTGAGGCCTGAGGGCCCAGGGGTCACCGATATCGACGGCATGGGGACACGAAATGAAATGGTGAAACAGCCGAGCCGACTGCACTACATTCGAAATGAAGTGATCTCCACACTTCCGCGGGTGGGTCCGGTTATTCAACCGGCCCTGCAAGATTGCGAACGAGACCGCTTTCCGGACCTGGACTCGGATCATATAGCATCCAGGAGTATTCGCCCCGGTGATGTCGATGAACTTTCATAACCACCCCCACAATGGAAATACGAATGTACCAAACCAATATCGCGATGTTAATCGCTGTCTATTCGGCCATTTCTCGCGGTGCGGTACTTTGCATCGTCCTGAAGCCTGAAGGCAAGCATATAATAGAGTGGGGATTCATGGCGATGGATTGATAGACACGACTCCCCCTTGCACATTCGACACTTCTTCCCTTCGAATTCTCTTTTCATCGCCCAATGGCTCCCGTCGCTGTCGCACCTGTTGCTGTTGATACTACGATCCATGACCTGAAAGCTTCTGTGGCTCGCACCTCTCCTGAGACTTTGCCCGACGTCCTTACCTTTGCGACGTTCCAGTATCCTGACCATGAATTAGGTTTCGTCACATCCTCCGCACACGACTCCTCCATTCAAACCAAAACTTTCTCCGAATTCGCGCAATATGTTCGTCCTTTGGCTCAGGTTATCCGCTCTTGGGGGAAACCTATCGGCTCAATCGTCGTCGTTTATTTGTCCGAGCACGAAGAAAGTATGGCAGCGCTCTGGGCTTGCTTGCTGGCAGGCCTTGTCCCGTGCCTTCAGCCCGTCCTTAGTGCGCAACAATCTCACAAGGAAGGACATATTGCACATATCAAGGGTCTCTTCGGTTCAGCTACCTGGCTGACCAACGAGACAGGTGCCGAGAAACTGCTTTCCATCCCTGACCTCGATCTCCACTTGTTCTCTGAGTTGAAGAAGTCCGCTTCTGCTTCGGTCCGCTCTGAGTTCAAACCCCACGAACCTAAGGTTGATGACGAGGCTATTCTCTTCTTGACTTCAGGATCTACCGGTTTTTCGAAAGCCGTCGTCCACACTCACCGTACTATCTTGGCCGCCTGCCGTTCCAAGGGCGAAAACTATGGTTTGACTTCGGAGACCAAGATTCTGAACTGTGGGTGAATGCCAATATGGTTCCAATAATACAAGCGCTAATGTTGTATGTAGGGGTTGGATTCGATCACGTTGCGGGTTCGATCGAAATGCACTTGGCACCTCTGCTGTACGGCGCTTCCCAAATTCATGTGCATCCCGCTGCTATCCTCTCCGATCCTCTTCGCTATTTCCGCCTGATAGAAGAAAAGGTTTGCTAATTCTGCTTGGTTATCCATGCTATTCACTAACGTGCGTTGAACAGTCTATCGAAATTACATTCGCTCCGAACTTTCTTCTTGCCAAGCTCACATGTGACCTGGAAAAGCGCAACGAATTGTTTAGCACCTTCAACCTGTCATCGCTGAGGCGTATTAACAGCGGTGGTGAAGCTGTTGTCAGCAAGACTGCCCAGGCATTCGCTGCTACCCTTAAGAACCTCGCCAAGGATTCCAACTCGTCCTGCGTTATCTCTGCCGGTTTTGGTATGACCGAGACCTGGTTAGTGGACGTGCCATTACTATATTTTTCGATTATTAATTTCATTCCAGTGCTGGATGTATCTACGATCCTATTGACGTGCTTGCAAACCCTCCTGCCCGCGAGTTCCTGGAACTCGGCACCCCTATCCCGGGTTGCGAGATGCGTATCGTTGACCCTGAAGACGGCGTCACCATTCGCCCTGATGGCGAAAGTGGTGAACTCCAGGTCCGTGGCCCCATGATTTTCGTCCGCTACTACAACGACGCGGAGGCAACCTCCTCTTGCTTCGTTGTGGGTGGCTGGTATCGCACAGGCGACATCGGTATCATCGAGAACGGAAAAATGCGTCTGAGCGGTCGTATCAAGGACACTATCATCGTCCACGGTATTTCATTCAGTATCCCTGAACTTGAGACCCACCTCCAGACAGTGGAGGGTGTTACACACTCTTTCCTTACTGCTGCGCCATACCGTGCTCCTGGCCAGGATACGGAGGGCTTCGTTGTTTTCTACTCTCCCACGTTCAGCCTCGATGAAGAGGATGCTCCCGCTAAACTTTACGCAACGCACCGTGCCCTCCGTGACGTCTCTGTCAAGATGATCACGCTGTCCCCGCAACAAATTATCCCGATTCCCATCAACCAGATGGAGAAGACCACCCTCGGGAAGGTCTCGAGAGCACGTCTCATCAAGCAGTTCAAGGAGGACCAACTCGGTCAACACATCGCCCGCGCGGAAGAGTTGCTTAGCTTCGCTCGCGGCGCTAGCTTCGTTTCCCCTTGCACCGAAACAGAGAAGACTCTGGCTCGTATCTACGCCGATATTTTCAACAACAATATCAGCGACGTCTCTGCCAGTGACAACTTCTTTGAGTTGGGCGGCACCTCGATTGATGTCATTAGGTATAATAACTACATGCTCTGGGCTAGGGCCTGATACTAACTCAGGTGCCAGGCTCAAGCGTGAGGCGGAGGCTGCCTTTGGACTTCCCGAAATCCCAACTATTCAGATCCTCAAACGCCCCGTTCTCTCTAGCCTGGCCAGCTACGTCGATGCTCTGTGCTCCAAGGAGGGTTTCCAAGAGGAGTATGACCCGATTGTACCCCTTCAGCTTACTGGCGACAGGACCCCGGTCTTCATGGTCCACGCAGGTCTCGGTGAAGTCCTCATCTTTGTCAACTTTGCGAAGTCCTTCCAAAACGAGCGGCCATTCTACACTCTGCGTTCTCGTGGTTTCGAGTCCGGCCACCCATTCTTTGGGTCCGTGAATGAGATGGTGTCTTGTTATGCAGCAGCTGTCAAGCGCACCCAACCCAAGGGTCCCTACGCTATTGCTGGATATTCATACGGTGGTGTTGTTGCCTTTGAAGTCGCGAAGCGCTTGGAAGCGATGGGCGATGAAGTCAAATTTACAGGTGTGATCGATATTCCTCCCCACATCGCCGACCGGATGCGCGAAATTGACTGGACGACGAGTTTGCTATACATGGCACAATCGCTTGGTCTCGTTACCAATCAAGATGCCATTGACTTGAACAACTCACTGAGACCGCTGTCTCGCAAGGATCAATTCGACCTGATCTGGAAGTTGTCTCCGCCGGAACGCCTGATCGAGTTGCAGGCGACTCTGGAGAAACTTGGCCACTGGCTCGACATCTCCGGTTCCTTGATTGAGTGTGGCAAGGAATACAACCCTTCGGGATCAGTCCGTGAGTAGCCTTTTTACATTCGTTCATGTTTCGTCATCATGCATTATGCACTGTTGTACTATAGAGTCAATTGACGTGTTCTATGCCAATCCTCTCCATGGAAACAAAGAAGACTGGCTCAACACCCATCTCAAGCCATGGGCAGGGTTCAGCCGCAGCGAGCCGACATACACGGACGTCCCTGGATACCATCAGACGCTCATGGATTTCGACTACGTACCACAGTTCCAGAAGATCTTCCGCTCGCGTCTCGAGGCTCGTGGGATCTAAATGGCGTTACATATGTTCTGGAGGGAATGGGGATTGTTGTACGAGGGATTCACGGGGCTACCGTATGATATACTATCATCTCTGGGTTTCTTTTTGCTCATGTTGTCGTCAAGGGTTCATCGCATTAGCCTGTGTCTGTTTTGTTTGTAAAGTATGTGCGACCATCGTTGGACGAGAAATATATGACAGTGTACATGCTTCCATCTTCATTCTACGGCTTCGAGTCGGATGACACTTGCGACCTTGTCGAGCTTGAGACCGGGAACCCCTGGGCCATGTAGTCGTTCACCGGCAGTTAGCCTTGGCCCCTCGCTGGTCGGGGTGATCGGTGACCGGTGAAAATTTGGTGTCCCGATTTGAGGAAGCCCAATGATAGTAACGATTCACTCTCCGCAGTCTCGTTAAGATCCATCGAATTACATAATCAAACACCACGTTCGCCCTCATTGGATTGCAGCAGCACTGGCGAGTTACTAACTTGTCCTGACTCGTAAGTACCATCACAACAATCGAGACGAGGGTTTGTTTCACTCCTTTCAGTCATGTAGGTTCTCGACACAACTCAATACTAGTCGCGAACGCAGCACAGACTTATCATGGACGAACTTGCTCACGCTCATGCTGAATTGGTGCAGTTGCAATCCACCGAGCGCATGTTTGTCGAACAACTCCCAGCCATCCGCGTGGCTGTTGAGACTCAGAGTCGTGAAATGAGCGAACTTGTCAATGCGCGACCCCTCCGATCGGTCGTCTTCCTATAGGGCTCCTCACGTGTATATCGAGCTTCATCCCAATGCGCAGTGGCAAGGGCATACATCAACTTGCCAAGCAGAAGCAGAATTTGGCCAGCTCTGAAGGGATCTAATTTTGAACACTCCTAGTTTCTGGAGTGATATCCGGTTGACTCGTGATTCCGACCCGAAGTCCTTGATGCCGCAGCTGAGGAAACGCCATGAATATCCTCTTGATATGACAATTGTAGACCTGTCCGATAACAGTCCAATTGACGCACTGTTCATTATTGGACATTCTTATCCCCAGCGCAAACCGCTGGCGTAACTTGCGCATTGACCTCACTAACACGGAAGTCCTGAACATTATCACGCGCGTGTTCAATCATTTGGAATTTTTTCTCGATACCTCGAAGATGTTTTCATTGATAGTTCTCTCACCTGCACGTTCCCCTGCCCTATCTTGGATGGGTGCATATGTATCTGTACACTTCACACCATGGCCACGCTGACGGCGTTCAACCTACGGATCTCGTGGGAATTGGGTATCCGCGAACATTGCTCGTTCTTCAAGCGTATCCGACTCCATTCATTTATTAACCACGTTCATAATTTTTGATCCCACCAATGGAGACTGGTTGTTTGAACGAGACAGTCTCCACTTCCTGCTTCTCCAAAAACTTGCGTTGATAACTGGTTGGAATCTCTACAAGTTTATGGATGCCGATGTAACACCCAAGCACAACAAATGGCTCGATCATCGGTCCCTGTATCACATCGTTCGAGGGAAGAGGATAACGAAGACTCCTACCAGCGGAGCATTTATTTCAAGTAATAAGTTCATAGGTCCATGGACAGAGGTGTCTAGCGAAGACAATGCCATCGGATATCGAGCCCATCTAACTGAAAGGTCTGGTCACCTAAGACCGGGAATATTGCTCAAGCAGTAAGAAAAAAGAGAATGTCAAGTACAATAGAGAGAACGCAGATGATAGTTTACCAGTGCATCATGCGTCATAGAACAGACCTGGTTCAGTAACCGTTTGAAAGGATACAACTTCGGCATCATTGCCGCCTCCTTCAGCCACTTTCTTGGGAGTCGTGGGCAAATCATCCACTTCTATTGTCGATGTCTCAATCCCATCTACTACCGTTAAGGTTGAGAGAGGATCACGCTGTATTCTTTTGCGAGTCGGCAGTGAGCCGAAGGTGATTATAGATTTGAGCTCCAGTGGAGCGGGGGTTGCGGTTTCTTCAGTACTGATGTGGAAGAAGAAAGCGACAACTACACTCAAATTCGCCACAATCAAGCTAACTGAGAACTGGCAAAACAAATGACTTAGTATGCACTGTACTGGAATCACTAACAGAGTTCAGAACCATACCTCAGCTATAGCAGCCAAGACTTCCCTTAGCCCACCGCCGGAATACACGTAGTACCCATGAGCGATGCTGACAACAGTGGTACCAGCAGAAGTTGAAAAAATGGATAGAAGTCGGATCTTTTGAGCCTTGGTGAGTTTGACTTTGTAGATCAGACGGACTGGTGCTATTATTAAGATCATGTCACCGAGCACGTCGGCTGAATGGCGCAAGTTAGATAGTCCATTCCGGTCGTGGTGCACCCAACAGACTCACTGATTATCTGTGTGATGGCAACATTCCTGCCTAGGTCACATTGAGGACGCGGTTGCGTTTTCCAACCAGGCTCTGTTTCACAGGTCCAAAAGATTTGCGCGCCAAGGATCATCCATGCAACCATAAATGCGATGGCGATGAGTACTAGCAATCTCCTTACTAAGCCAGGGAAAGTCAGTCGGACGACCGTGAACAAAATCGAGATCCTGGACGACCTAAAACCGTTCTAAGATGACCCGTGATCCAAAAGAAAGGAATGTTATCTCACCAAACGACCGCATAGAAGCACTGTGCGCCTCTGGAATATTTTCGAGTACACTGTGATGCTGGTTTGTTAAAAGAACGCACATATAATACAACGCCACCCTGGTATCTTGAGGATGTCGAGCTATTGTATGTAGTCCAGAGTCAGCGCAATTCGCTCTGGCAGAAAAGACGACGCCAGCACCGTAGTCATGCAGATACAACCAATTTACTACCAAAAAAATGATATTGAATACCATGGCAAGCGCTGCCCATGTATCGTCTAGCCAGAAACGGCTTTGTCGTACCCGCACGAACAAACGGAAGCAGGTGACCACCGTCGCAACGACGGGGAAGACAATACCAGCAACTGTAGATTAATCAGTGGGCGATCTGAATAGTTCTCAAGGTCGCTACCTGCAGTTTGTTGAATTGTTGGTCCAGTGGATGACATGTTAGCTTGGGAAACGGGGAGACAGGGAGGGACTGTCAGAGTACAACACCATACGTTTTTATCTTTGATACATTTATTTGTATCAAGAGCCGCTTTTTGTCGATTGAACCGCCGCCGAGCGTGTCGGAACTATCAAAGCCGCTCATACTGAACGCATTAGTCGTAGCCCCCTCCCCTGCGATCAGAATCATGATAGAGAATCGATAAATTAAAGTCATACATACTACAGTGCTTGAGAAACGTCTGGGCTACTGGCAACGACATAGTATATTCCGCATGCCAAGAACCGGAACCGTACCTCTGCAGACTTCTGCATCGAGTTTTTGTTGTTCCAGCGTTGCGCACCTTCTGATCTATATCATAAATCACCTTATTGGCCTGCTGTTTGAGCTATCGTGGACACACTATGTCCATTCCGGGTCTCACTCACATGCGTGTCCGCTCAGATGATGGTGAAGTATTAAAAGAGGTGAGGACACAACCACGTCGTGCTTAGTATGCACATTTACAGTTAGACTCTAATGATCCGACTGCCTGCCCCGAGTTTGATTCATTGCTGTGATGCTCCCTCAACGGAACTGAGATCCACTCGGAAGTTGTCAGGAGAGTTTGATTCACGGACTAAGGCTTTCATCGATCGTCTTTGAGAAGCTGTTCTGCGGTGAGTCGGAGTATTACATGGCCAGCACTACGTCTCTGCTCATACCTCCGTACTCTATGGGGTCTTCAAATGTTGCCTGCCTCTATTCTTGGCAAGAGTTTCGGGGAGTTGTTTGTTCACTGCTTGACGTAGCAACTCGAAATTCTGCATGTCGGTACCAATCCTCCCCAGAAGAACAATCTGACATCAGCGAAGGTATTCGTTCAGACGGTGTGGGTACTACTGAGGTGGGTTGCATTTTCGAAGAGTTGAGCCGCGGTTTCACATTCCATCTCAACTTAGGTTCGACCCGTGTCTCACTTCGGTTCGTGAGCGACGATCCTCGGGCTTATCGCTGAAGATCATACGGGAAAATGGTCACTGGGAGTCGGACAAAAAGACCTTCAATTTGCACTCAAATTCCGGGAAAGTTGAAGTCATTGCCACAACGTTGCTGCGTCCGGCTTTCGCCCAGTCTCTTGAGGCCTGCAGTCTATAAAACTTGTATGCGACAAGAGGGCACCATGTTCGTTGGATCGCATAGACGGGGTGCAGGCTCCGGGTGACCCGAGAATTGGCCCACCGGTCACTCACTGTCTTACCTGCGTTTGGACAGTCGCAAGGTCGCCGGTATCCCCGGCCAGCCGATTGATCTCTCTGCAGGCGCCCGTGGCCACTGGCTACCGTGTTACCACCACGTGTCCAGCGGACAGCGGTGGGTAGTCAGCATCAGCATCTCACAACGATCCGTCGACATGTACGAAAAACTATGAGTTGACCAGTTGACGCACGTGGCCCTGATGATTACTAGTCTGGAATGGAAACATTGGGCGCGGTGAGTAAGCACAACACCTTGCACGTTCATGTCAAAGATGAAGGGGCTAAAGCCGCGAAGCGCTCCCCCTTTACACCCAGGATCTTCTCCGGACCGTACTATGGTTGAGTGTATATGAATTTGAGCTTGGCTCGACTATCGCAGTTACCATAATCCATCTTCCTAGGCGCTGACGAAGTACACCTCCACCTCCATGCCATGCGCATCTTGTTGTGGCTATGTTTTCCCAGACCTTTCCGTGGACACAAGGACTTGTTCATTTAGAATGGAGTCTCACGGTTTACCGCAACTGCCAAGGTATCAGAATTTGTGCGACGAACGCAGGTGGCATGGCTAGTAGTGACTGCGAATCCCTTACTCGCCACATGCGCCGTGTTTTCTATGATGCACATCAGAGGGAAGTTGTTTACGTGGAAGAGGATAGGCTCACGGACAACCCGTGATATGTGTGAACCTGACAAGAGAACAGAATTGTCGGGCGCTTCGACGGTGCTGTTAGTTTCCACTATATACTCTCTGGTTTCGCGCGAATGATGGGCGATATGCTGTGAGATCGCGGTCTGACATTGCCAGGAGCTGAGACAATTTAAACTTTCTTGGGACGAGATGGAATGCTTGGATCCCGGTACATTGGTGACTTGGCTCATACGTAGGAAATAGGAAGGGGCGACAGACATATGGAGGTAGTTGTAAAGCTGCTGGACCTGCAGAGCGACTTGCACTGTTCTAGCCGTGGAACCGTAGAACAAGGTCAGCACGCACTGGCATGAGCTAAGGCGAAACTGATAATGAACACCACCCATGATTTGGCGTGTGGCATCTAAAGACCTATGTATCCCCCCTTTCGTCTGTTCTTCAAGTTTGTCCCCATACCCCGCATTCGACTCGTTCTCCATTTCTACGGGCGCCGTCGCAATTCCTCTTTCGTGTCATAAGCTAGTCCTGGCGTCATCCTTGACCTTGTCGGTGCACATTAGCCTACGCTGATTTGGGACACATAAGATCCATAAGCGTGATTTAAACGGTACAACTCGTGAACGCTGCGTACCACCACCGGTCAGGTATTGCATTGCCACTGTGGGCCTTCCCGCGATACGGAAGATGATGGATGAGAGCCTGGTCTTTAACGCGGAGTGAAGGAGCAGGGCACGGCGGCCCATCAGCACAACCCTGTTCAACGTTTTCTATCTCCTCCCATACGGGACCTGGTCTCCATGTTGACCTTCCCGTGGAGAAATTCTCGCCGGTCGCGGATGGTATGCTATCGTATCCGCATCGTCTGCACGGAGAAGTGACCCTGCGAAGGGTGTCAGCATTGAAATGATTACTCTGAGCTTGTAAGTACGCACTACTTGTAGCGTGTTCTTGCCAAGATGTGCATGAGGTATGACTTCGTCCAAGGAGTGATGCAGAGGTATGGTGACGCCCGCCATTGTATGCATTGATGGTGTAGTAGAAAAATAAGTCGGCGGGCGAGTCGATCGTTTAGACCAAGCGTATTCTCGTTGTTGATGTGGTGGTGCGACGGCTGACGGCAATGGAACTAGCGGGACTGGCAAGTCGAAGAGCTGAGAAACACCTTCCTGTTTGGGATAGCTGCATGTCGGTTTTATCTTTGCACGCACCCAGCGACCAGGCATGGGTACTAAGTCGAAGAAAAGAGCTGCTCCAGCTCCTACGGTAAAGTAGTCGCCTCAATGTCTGGCTACCCGTTTTTATAGCGCATTTGTTTTGTAGCATTCATCGAAGAAACAAAAACTGCAGCAACCGAGCCGGCCTTCCAAGTCGGCCCAGACGAAAAATAAGTCTCAAGAGAAAGGAAAAGAGAAGGCCTTCGAAAGAGATGTGATAGCGATACCCAATGCCGCTGATGCAGATACCGGGGACAGTGACGTTTCCGATGCAGATGCCGCTCTTGTACAGGAATTTGGTGGTGCCATCGATTTTTTGCGTTCGTTGGATCACAAAGCTATTGCAAGGTGCGCAGTTCCGTGGAAGTTTCTTTACTTGACCTTATTTCTTATTTATTCCTTTGTCAGGAGCAAAAAGGAAACGGAACGGCTGCATCAGTTACACAAGCCCGTTCGTAAATCTAGAGATGACGATCTACCACCCATAGTATCCGATGACGACGATGCTGGGGATTCTTCGAGCTCCGTAGTTGATGACATTGATTCAGACGAAGAGGAATCTGAGGGCGAGCGCCAGAGTTTCCAAGGGTTCACTTCCGATTCGGACGTCGAGATGCCCTACGAACGTGTGCCAAGAAAACGCGACGCCTCCGTTGAATCAGATCGCCCACGACAGATACAGGGATTACCTATCAAACTCGCAGACGGCCGAATACAAGCAACCGGAAAGATGACCGTGGCCCCGATATTATCAGAAAGCGAGGACGACGAAGACAATGATGAGGTTTCTGCCAACGTTCCTACAGACGAAGCAGGTAAACGTGTCGAAGATGTGGCTACCGGTGCACGTTTTGGTCGACCTGCTGTGGTAGATGTGGTGGGCAACAAATCGCGTGCAGCCCGAATACACGGAGCGAAAGAGCAGATTGCTAGCATATGTCAGGAAATCATCGCTGACCCGGAAAACAGCGTGAGTTCGGTTTTAGTCTTGCTACCCATTTTCCCCCATCTCATACTCCTCTAGCTAGGGCTTCTTCGTCGGTTGCACACTTTCTCGATCGAGAAAATCACATCTCCAGCGCACCCTGAACCTGTTGCGAACGACGCCATGATCCGAAAATTGGCGATGCTCTCCCAGTTGGCCGTATTTAAAGACATCATACCTGGTTACCGCATACGTGCGCTGACAGAAAAGGAGAAAGCGGAGAAAGTCAGCCAAATGGTTGCTCATACGCGTGAATGGGAGCAAGGACTCCTTGTCGTCTATCAGACTTATCTCCGCACTCTGGATAATGCACTGAAGGGTAAGATGACATGCCTCCTGAACGACTCGTTCCCACCCCACTCATCTCAATTAAGCCAAGGACGAGCTGACTGATATCGCACTCAAGTGCATGTGTACTCTGGCCACGGAGGTTACCCACTTCAACTTCCGTGCGAACCTCATGTCGTGTATCGTGGCTCGGCTAAGCAAGAAAAGTTGGGATGAGGTAGGCCGTTCTCCGCGAGCCGTCCGCGGATCCCTGACACGGGTGCATCACTCTAGTCGTCCGACCTTTGTCTCAATACTCTGATCAGCATCTTCCGAAATGACTTGACCGGCGTGCCATCGCTAGAGATTGTCCAGTTGTTGAATAGGATGATTAAGGAGCGGCATTTCAAGGTCCACCCTGAAGTCCTCAGTTGTCTCTTGCACTTGCGACTGAAGAGCGAGCTGAATGTGCGAGCATCAGATACGAAGGTCGACACTGAAAGGCCTAAGAAACATTCCCAAGGGAGAGCTGCGAGCCGCCGTGCCAAAGGCAAACCCACTGACCAACCTCATTTGAGCAAGAAGGCAAAGAAGGCGTTTAAGGAAAGGAAGGAAATAGAGAAGGAAGTACGTGAAGCAGAAGCGGAGGTCGATAAGGAGGAACGGGCAAGGACGGTACGTGATTGGACGGGGTCGATATCTATGGCATCTGACATCCTTTGATTTAAAGCATACCGAAACTCTCAAGCTCTTGTTCATGTTGTACTTCCGCATCCTCAAGAATCCTCATCCGACACCTCTACTTCCTGCGGCCCTGAGGGGTATTTCCAAGTTCGCACACCTTGTCAATGTCGATTTCTTCAAAGACCTAATGCAGGTTCTGCGGGGGCTTATCGTCCGAGAATCCACAGGTGAAGGCGATTCCGAGTCTCCGGACTGGGATACCGCAGATAATGCGGCAGATATCCTGAATCGATTGCTCTGTATTGTGACCGCCTTCGAGCTCCTTTCAGGTCAAGGTTCGTGTAATCTTGCGGATCTCTCATACTTGTGACTTCAACTTCAGGACACAGGTGAAGCCTTGAACATCGACCTCAGTGATTTTGTCAAACACCTATATGCGATAATACTCCCCGTCAGCTTGCTACCGCAGATCGATGCCCCTCCACCGACCAAATTCGCTTCGAATTTCCGAATATCGAAGCCAGAAAGTATCGCCGACATGCTCTTTAGGGCTCTAAACATCGTTTTCTCCCCACGTTCATCCGGAGGCACAGTTATTCCCTGGCGCTCCGCCGCTTTTGCCAAACGCCTGCTAATCGCATCGATCAATTGGCCACCGAATGTAACGTTACGCGCTCTGGAATTTATCGAAGCGCTCGTTGCCAAAGATCCAAAACTGGAAGCGCTCCTGTCAACCGAGGATCGGAGCACGGACGGCGTCTACCTTCCGCAGGTTGATGATCCGCAGCTTAGTCGACCGTTCGGGACGTCGTTTTTTGAGCTTTTACTGCTTCAGCAATGCCATTATGACTCGGGAGTACGGGAGGCTGCCCAGAGGCTTTCTAGGTGCACGAACAGATGATGTCTACGTATTGGTCCCTAGAAAATGGAGATTTTGTGCCGCAGTGCGTCCCCCACGCCGATTCACTAGGTAGGTACAGACTTTTGCGCCAAGGGTGTTTCTTGAATTATGAAGCACGCAGTATCAAATACTGATTGGTGAGTCCTTGAGTGCCCTTCCAAGACCAATGTCGTCGTCAAATGGCGCGATCGTCTCCATACGCGCAGCTGTGTAGCGAGTGACTTCACTTGTCCTCTATGGTAAGATCAGTACCCCGCCTCTCAAGAAATCTCACGTCCCGTCTGCATTTCCTTGACTAGCTTTTTCTCCTGCTCGCCATTCAATTAGTCGATGCGCATTGGAAGATCTCATCGGACGCGCACCTCATTATTGATATACTCTTTCAGTCTCTTGTTTTTTGACCGGACAGCTAATTTCGCCACCGGACGGTTCAGTCTGATTGAAAGAGTGAGACCTAAGCAATTGGAATGCTCTGGCCGTTTGCTCCACACATCTCGAGGTATGCGCATTCCTGGTGCAACTAAGGTGAATGCAAGGCAGCGCGCGAAGTGCATACGGTGAGTCCCAGCGTGAGATGAGCACACATTGATGGCAGACGCCACATTATTCGAACGACTGCGACTGGGCGGGAGCTTCGATGGGCAGGAAGCAATCACTAGGGTAAGCTGCACAATGTGCCTCTAGGACTACGTATATTTCTCGTCGGAGAACACTACATAGTGACTATGCACCCATGGTAATCGGGATCTTCGATGATCTCGACGTCTTTTCCAGACTGCGGTGCTTTATATCCCTGTGGAACACCGTGGCAATGGTGGAGCGGCCCTGTCCCGTTTCAGTTCATTAGAGAAGATCAGATCAGTTGCTTTATGTAGTATGAGATTCTCTGCGATTTACATGCGATCGTTCACCGGCTTCCACCGGCGTTATAGTAATTTCACCGTGGATTGGGTATACCAACCACCAGGAGGAAGACTGGACTGCCGTTCTTAGAGGTGACGCGTATATAAAAGGGGGACGCGTCTCTCCCGCAAAGAGTAGCGCCCCTTTCCTTCCTCCTCATACCATCGGCGATGAACATGACTGTGGACTTTGTCAGGATGAACATGAAGATCATGTACTTCGTGGCGAAGTCAATTGTCAGTGCATGCGATGGGGCACTTTGCATCCGAACGCACCCGCCGTCCACACCAGCTGACGTGCCGACGTGATTCTCTGTCCAAACGACATGATACAGCTTCTCATTGATGCTTGTCGTAACTTCACCGTTCACCCTCAGGTGCCAGTCACCGGATCTCGCTGGCTTTGTCCATTTAGCACGCATATAGGCGAGGAATGCGATCCCAGAAAACTGATCGGCCTCCGGAGCTCATCTAGTTCTTCGATCCAAAGCGTACTTACTTACCGAATGAGTGTGACTGAATACTGACCGCACCCCTCCTCCTCCTCCGACGGCTTAACGTCCACGTCTATCCATTATTTGCCATGATTCATGCGGTCCGCGTGTACATCCTGGTAAACGGCTTCCAGACAAGGGTGCGCCACGATCCGTCCCGCCTGCACGCTACGCCACCACACGTGGTGCTCGAGCCCAAGTGCCGCGTCAACCTGATCCACGAACGTATGACGCGGTGCGCCGATATCTCATGTGATGCTTTTAGAAGGGAAAGTCGTCGTCTGACAAGTTCTCTTGACTCTTCCGGTCGGGCGATTTTATCTCATCTGCTCCCACATGCCTCACTGTATTGTAGTATGTCCCTGATGCAGGTACGTCATATATCGTTAAATCCCGTTACTCTCCCTTCATAATCAAATACTCGCTGAGCGCATTCTTAAGCCGCCCAATCCAATCACCGGGCTGGCATAAGCATTGTGCGCACGCCTAGTGATGGCGATACGGCAATGAAGGCTTGGTCAGTCAAACGACAAACTAATGTTCTCCCCAGCCACGTCACCTTCCAACAGACGCATACGTCGATTCCCTTCTTCCCCTACCACATGTAACTTACCTTCGTATTTCCACATGCACGCTGCAGTCTCACACCAGTACCGTACGTTTCAGTTCATCTTTCCAATTGCATTTCCGTGCAGTCGGATAGTGCGGGGCCCTGTTCGCGATGAGGTCAATTGTGACTCTCACCCAATTACATCAATTATTTGGTTCGATGAGTAACGTAGTCTACTGTTAACACAGCTAATTTTTTAACTAACGATAACAATATAACAGCAATATCATAGAGAATAAAGAAAATCTGGCGTCTCACGGCACCTGGACCGGGCCAGTTTCTGTAGCGGAGTTATCGTCCTCTACCGTGTAACCCTGTGGAAAGCGACTGTGCGCCACCCGGGGAGTAGCAACACGCACTGACTGTGGAGCGTGCGAAGGTCTACCAGGCATCAACCTTGGACGAGTAAAAGCATACAAGATCACGTTGAACAGACCGCATGATGCGAACAGCGTGGATGTGAAAGCTGTCGCTGCAAACGGAACGTCATGACCGCTGAATTGAGAAAAACGAGCCACTGATTGAGGTAACACCTATCACTCGTTCAGTATAATCATATCAAAGACACCGAAGACCACTCACCTGTACAGTGTACAAGATGGGGTAACTGTAAAGTGGTTCAACAGAAGCCATCAATCGTAGACTAGGAGCCACTTACGAGAGCATTTGAATTGCTCTGACACTTTCTGCAGTCGTGTCTACTTCATACGGAATTATTCCCCTGTCCTGCTTTCTCCTCCACCGAAATCTGTGTCCATCCACAAGAACTAGTCGTGTGATAACAAGTGCAAGGAGCAGGTATGAGATGGTGTTTACTACCCCAGACACCCACAACCATATATAAACGAGGCCAACCTGCGTCATGATACTTCCGTCAACGAAGCACCCTGAACAGCAGTGTGAATTCAGGTTATCAAAGGTAAAACCGAACTATAAACACTTACAATAGCCACTAGAACCGTAAATGTTGTGTTGAACCACAATTGGCGGCACGACTACGAGAAGAAGGATTACCAACCAAATGATCGCCAATACAGGGAGCGCAAATTTTGGTGGGGGCGTCCACTGTAGCACCAATACTTGCAGCACGTGCACAGCAACGGCCTATCTCGAATCACTATTTCATTACCACGACAATTGACGTAAGTGGCGTACCATTGTACTGATAAGGCAATTCTGTGAGCATGCGAAGGGGGTTTCTTTTCAATTTCGATACGCACCTGAGACCAACCCCAACATTACCTACTTGAAGCAAGAAACCTGCGTGCCATGAGAGACGAGTGTTTAGTAAAGTAAAAGCGGAAATACCTTGAACGGTGCAAACGGTACTAGGGTATAGCATCTGACGGTTAAATGAGTGCGAGGCATTACAAACACGTTGAAGGCCCACCGCCTCTACAATCCACTTGATGTTGAGCAATTCACCTGCACATCGTCAGTCAGTAACAGGAACCACGTGGTAGTACGTACTGACCAATAGATAAGATAAGGTGAGATATCATCATATTGAGAAAATAATAGTGTATATGCGTGTCGGTGGACCACCGCCGCAAAGCATTTCGCCTCAAGGTGACTGCGCTATACTGCAAAAATCAGTTGGCGGACGACGCTGAAGGGGGGAAAAAAACTCACCGCAATGTACAACAGCAGACCGCCGACGGCGAGCGCTGATGCAGCAGACGCCACGCACATGATGACCATGCCCACCCTGACCCCGAAATCGAACTGCTCACTCATCGCCGGTGTGTTGAAGAAAAACGAGGAGACATCTGCCCATGGCGAGAGTTGGATTATTTAAATGATTTCACAACTCGAGGGCGTTTATGAACCGTATTCTTATTCTTCCATATTGGTGTGCTGTGAGCTGAAGTCGCTCCTGCCAGTGGCGATGCTAGCGTGTGCAAATGGGCACATGGCCAAGCTGACCACAGGGCAGTGTGAGAGCAGAAAGTTAACAAGGTTGAAAATGTCGTCTCAGAACTTTGAAATGCTCACATGTGTAGCTTGCTAATGAATGAGTATTGACACTCCTGACCAAGGTCTTGGAGATGGTTCCTCCCATCAAGGCCACTTCACGGCGACGACCACTGCTCTCCTGCCAGCCACAGGATGGGTGCCGGGACGGCCCAGTTGGACATCTGCCAAACCTAAAGCCACGTTTGCGCTTCGAGAAGAATGAGAAAACTACTGCTACTACTGGCGGCCGTACCTCAGAAGCGTGAAACTATGAAAGCCGGACAATCGCGCTTCGGCAGACCAGTGATTTTGTGCCGATGTTGGACGTGCAGCACGTTTTTCGAAGTTTCGACAGCAGAGGGACACCGCACACTGCGGTGGTGCGGTCATCAGTATGGAAAGCCAGACAATCGCGCTTCGGCAGACCAGTGATTTTCGTGCGGATGCTGGACGTGCAACACGTTTTTCGAAGTTTCGCCGCAGAGGGACACCGCACACTGCGGTGGTGCGGCCATCAGTATGGAAAGCCAGACAATCGCGCTTCGGCAGGCCAGTCATTTTTCGTGGCGATGCTGGACGTGCAGCACGTTTTTCGAAGTTTCGACAGCGGTGGGACACCGGACACTGCGGTGGTGCAGTTGTCAGTATGGAAAGCCAGACAATCGCGCTTCGGCAGGACAGTCATTTTCGTGCCGGTGCCGGACGTGCAGCATGTTTTGCAGATGAGTCTGATGTGCAGTAGAACAGATGACGGACTCGCAGTACTGCAGATGTCGGATGTATGGTAGTACGAATGACAGACATGCAGATGTTGGACCGTCAGACATTTGCACTACCGTGTGACTGTGTGACTGACGACTGCACTAACGCAGTGTCTGGTGTCCCTCTGCTGTCGATACTTCGAAAAACGTGGTGCACATGTGGCAGGTGCCCAAATTTAATTGTCCAAAATAAGACCTGCCGAAGCGCGATTGTCCAGCGTTCCATATAAAACAAGCGCGGGACGGATGGATGGATACAGATAAGGAAGGTAATGCAGATGTAAAGCGAGGAAAATGAAGCCTATGCGAAAAAATTGCCATTATTAGTTGTGAGGATGTCTGCACTGACCTGGTCAACTCGCTTTTTAGGTGGTGCGTGTACATGTACATACGTGTGTGTGCATGGAGCGGGGTTTGCAGGCCAACTTACTTCTTCCAGAAGGCGAGACCGCCACATCTGCATAGACTTCAGCATGGGAAAGTCGGTCACCTGGTCCGATCAGGACAGGTGGCAGTTCGAAGAAGCAGACGGTGGGAAAAAGTTGAGGCCGGGCAATTTGTTAGATGCCACCGGACCGTCACTGCGAAGCTGTCCCCTGCATTTGCGAAAACGATGGCGGACATTATCCAATGGCGATACGTTCCCCTTCCTTGCAGTCAAGAACTAACGAGAAAGGTGAGGACATCTCGACACCGAGAATGAGTTGCTCCCGTTCCGGCGGTAACATAGTCGGCCCGTTGTCATTTTTTTAACACGCAGCATTCATCGAAGAAACATGTGCAACTGAACCGGCCCGTCAAGTGAGCCCAAACGAAGAACAAATCCCAGAAGAAAGAAAGAGGAAAGCAAAATACTTCTGGAAGAGATCCCCAAGAATCCCCATCTGGCACCTCTACTTTCTGCTGCCCCAAGGAGCATTTCCAAGTTCGCGCATCTTGTCAACGTTGACTTCTTCAAAGACCTAATGCAGGTTCTGCGAGAACTCATCATCCAATAATCCATAGGCGAAGACAATTCTGAGTCTCTGGACTGGGACATCACAGACAATGCGGCCAACATCCTCAATCGACTACTTTGTATTGTGACCGCTTTCGCGCTCCTTCTGAGTGAAGGTTCGTGTCGTCTTTTAGTCCTCCCATACCTACGACTTTGGTATTGGCACTTAGGGGAAGCGTTGGACATCGACCTCAGCGATTTCATCGATCATTTATATGCTTTTAGTATACTCCCCGTCAGCTAGTTACCATAGATTGACATACCTCGGCCGACCAAATTTGCCCCGAATTTTCGAATATAGAAGGCAGAGAGTGTTGCCGACACGCTCTTCCGGCCTCCAAACGTCGTTTCCTCTCTACGTTCATCTGGGGGCATAGTCGTCCCCTGGCGCTCCGTCGCTTTGCCGAACGCTTGCTAATCGCATCGATCAATCTGCCACTGAACGTAACCTTACGCACTCTGGAATTCATCGAAGTGCTTGTTGCCAAAGATCCAAAGCTGGCAGCGCCCCCGTGAACCGAGGATCGGGGCGTGGATGTATTGATCCTTAGCCAATGGAAATTTGTGCTGCAGTGCGTCCCCCCACCGATTCACTAGGTAGGTACAGACTTTTGCGCCAAGGGTGCTTGTTGGACTATAAAGCGCGCGGTATCTCTGCCCTTGCAAGACTAATGTCGTCGTCATTTGGCACGATCGCCTCTATATGCGCAGCTGTATAGCGAGTGACTTCACTTGTCTGCTGTGGTAACATGGGTACCCTGCCTCTCAAGAACCCTCACTTCGTGTCTGCATTTCCGTACTAGCTTTTTCCTTTGTCTCCTGCTCGCCATTCAACCAGTTGAAGCGCACTGGAAAATCTTGTCGGGCGTGCACATCACTATTGATATACTCCTGCAGTCTCCTGTTTCTTTGACCCGGACAGCTAATTTCGCCACTGGATGGTTCAGTCTGACCATTATTTGCCACGACTCGTGCGGTCCGCGTGTACATCCTGGTAAATGGCTGCCAGGCAAAGGGAGGCCACGGTCCATCTCACCTGCACGCGACGTCGCTACAGGTAGTGGTTGGAGCTCAAGTGCCGCGTGAGCCTACTCACGAGCGTTTGACACAGTGCGCCGATCTCTCATGTGCGGTTTTAGCGGGGGAAGTCCTCGTCGTCTAGCAAGTCATCTCATCTTGACTCTTGCGGTTATGCGATTTTGTCTCATCCGCTCTCGCACGCTTCACCGTATTGTGGTGCGTTCCTGCCGGAGGTACATTATAGTTCCTTTCTGTATCGTGAAGTCCCGTTACTCACCCTCAGAAGAGTGGCAAAAATCCTCACTCTCCCGCCGTAATCGTGTACTCACGGACGCGCATTATCAAGCCATCCGATCTAATAACTAAGCGCGCCTAGTATGTAATGGTGATATGGTGGTGAAGACCTGGACAGTCAAATGGCAAACGAATGACCTCCCCAACTATGTCACCTTCCAACTGACGCGTATGTCGATTCCCTACTTCGCCCGTCACACACAGCTTACCATCGTATATGTATGTTCTGCTTTAGGTCTTTGTAGAGCGTCTCCACACGTATCCCACGCAGAATTTGCTCACTGAGTGGCAACGTGCACTCCGAGATGGACCCAACAGTAAATCTCATGTCCTATGGTCAGCATGTGCAGTCGCAGCATTAAATCGATTACTGACATTCCATCAGACTCCTCACAGGATCACAGTCTTCGATGCCATACCAAAGTCCTCCAGCGCTCCTGGACGCATGGGATAGAGGGAGTGTTAGGTGATGGCGGTTTGGTCATGAGAGTGATGCAGCAATTGTTTGTGGAAGATGCGTCCAGTTGGAACAATCAATGTGCACGGAAGTGGATGAATATCTAGGCAAGCTTCTTGCATAGCTCTGACATTGGCAATGTTTCACTCTAGCGAGATGGCTGGTTGCAATTAGTGTTTTTCTCTTCGTGGCTTCAAGTCCCAGGCTGGGCCAATCCGGGCCCTTAGGGTCGGCTTGTGGGGGCTCGGGCCCAGGGTCCGGCGATCGCTGTCTTCGATGTTATAGATCTTTGTGATGACGCGCAGATTCTCGTTCCTGCTTCCCACATTCAGGCCCCAATTCGTCATCCAAAGGTGTGTCTGGGTCTCAGACACATTCACACTCTCAGGTACCGTACTTCCATCCACCCAAGACAACAAGCCCATACCACCGGGAAGGGTGGATGAGTAACACCCTGGACCATTGGTTAATCAATGTTGCAACCCTTTTCCTCAACTTCCACACATTTGCGATAGTGTGCTGCTCTATTCGCAATGAGGTCAATCGTGACCTTCACCAAGTTACACCAATTATTTGGCTTGTACTCAAAGGGAGTAATGGCTAACGAATATAATAGCAGTATGATAAATAGCTTTATTCATGCAGATGGAGACTGAAGAAAATCTGGCGTCTTACGGCACATGGGCCGGGCCAGTTTCTGTAACAAAGCTATTGTCCTCCACCGGGTAGCCATGTGGAAAGCGACTGTACGCCGCCTGGGCAGTAGCCACACGCACTGCTTGTGGAGCGTGCGAAGGTCTACTAGGCATCAACCTTGGACGAGTCAAAGCATACAAGATCACGTTGAACAGACCGCATGATGCGAACAGCGTGGATGTGAAAGCTATCGCTGCAAACGGAACGTCATGACCGCTGAATTGAAAGAAACGAGCCACTGATTGAGGTAACACCTATCACTCATTCGGTACAATCATATCAAAGACACTGAAGATCACTCGCCTGTACAATGTACAAGATGGGGTAACTGTAAAGTGGTTCGTACAGAAGCCATCAATCGTAGACTAGGAGTCACTTACGAGACCATTTGAATTGCTCTGACATTTTCTGCAGACATGTCTACTTCATACGGAATTATTCTCGTGTCCTGCTTTCTCCTCCACCGAAATCTGTGTCCATCCACAAGGACTAGTCGCGTGATAACGAGTGCAAGGAGCAGGTATGAGATGATGTTTACTACCCCAGACACCCACAACCATATGAAAACGAGGCCAACCTTCGTCATGATACTTCCGTCGACGGAGCACCCTGAAAAGCGGTGTGAATTCAGGTTCGAAGGTAAAATTGCACCATAAACACTTACAATGGCCACTAGAACCATAAATGTTGCGTTGAACCATAATGGGCGGCACGACCACCAGAAGAAGGATGAGCAGCCAAATTATTGCCAGCACAAGGAGAGCAAATTTTGGTGGAGATCTCCTCTGTAGCACCAATACTTGCAGCACGTGCACAGCAACGGCCTATCTCGAATCACTATTTCATTACCACGACAATTGATGTAAGTGGCGTACCATTGTACTGATAAGGCAATTCTGTGAGCATGCGAAGGGGGTTTCTTTTCGACTTCGATACGCACCTGAGACCAACCCCAACATCACCCACTTGAAGCAAGAAACCTGCATGCCATGAAAGACG